ATGTTTTTCAATCACAGATTAAATGTGTAATAAATGCGTTTTTTTATCAGAAATAAAAAAATAGGACTTTATATTGAATAATATCAACGAAGTACTGAAGCTCAAAGCTCAAATATCAGGAAGGAAGAAGTTCCCACAATAATTACAATTACTCAGATGTGGTTTTTCATGTCGTCATCCGTTCCCCTGGTTCTGTCCATGCAGATGTTTTTAACCATCTGAAAAAAAGAGATAAAGGTTATTTAAGTGCTGGTAGTAATACACAAGTACACTCAGATTGTACTACATGGTGTGTTGTACCTGAAGTACCTGCAGCTGTTTCCATCCTCACATTTTCGTAAACGCTCTCCTCTGGTTCATCATTCGTCCCTGTTAGAAGGATCAGATGAATGCATGAAGAGACACTTTATTCTCCTTTATTAAAGCTCTGCTGGCCTACAAAAGCATCTCAACTACTGCAGCTTGTTCCCTTATAGAAGTATTCTCATTAACCATCAATGTCTTTAAGCTCAAACACAGAATCTGTGACATCATCGATACACTTTGTCTTTAATTTAAAGGACGGTCAACCAGTCACTTGATCATCTGATTCTAGTATTTTAACAGCTGTGTGATGAACACACAGGATTTACTGCACCATGTTCAGGTTCTTCAGAGCCTCCGATTGCTTCATAGAGACAAGAATCACCTGCAGAGCAGTGAGGATAAAGACGAGGTCGTATCAATCATTTGAACCACTTTGTATCAATTATAGAATCTTCTCAAACAGATAACCAGAAATGGAAATGTTAGCATTAAAGTTAAGAACACATTATTAAATAAATCAGGATTAAAGCTGACCATGAAGAAGAGAAGCGTAATGTCCGTCTTGAGTTTCACCCTGGTTGATCATGTGGTCTGTAGCTGGGCTCTGATTGGTCCTCTGAGACCTTGTGGGTCCAAAACATGAAGTAAATACAGAGGATTTAATGAGGAACATGTAAAGTCCTGCTGCCATGTTCAGAGTGAGAGAAGAGAGGCTTGTACCAACCTGCTGAGGCTGGAAGCTGCAAGAAAAAGGTTTCACATTGATCATTAATAAGTGTGTGTAATAATATCTGTGACTTTGACTTATTTCAGTGAAATCAGTCTGATATCAGAAGGAAAAGATCTCACCTTCTGACTTTCTGTAGCGACGCAGAAACAGCAGCAGGAGAATAATCAGTAAAACTCCAGAAACCAGACCAACAACCAACGGCACGAGAAACACAGAGCTTGATGCTGCTTCTTCAGGATCTACACACAAGTACACACCAACCATGAAGAGATACACAAGTAACAATAATAATACAGTTTATTTATAACACACTCTTCATCAACAGATCTCAGAGTGTCACAGAGACAGAAAAACATACTTAAAACAAACTAAAACTAGTAAAAACACAGGTACTAATACACACACACACTCAAATACACAAACATGAAGCCTTGATCACACAACATTCACCTTTCACTGCTGGTCATGTTACATCTCTAATATTATGTGTTTTTACTGAACATGAACATCTTTAAAACTATATTGTCTCACACAAACAAATAGTTTATCTTAAGATAACTTCTAATTCAGTGACACCTTTTCTCACTCAGACTGTAACACATGTTACAAAACTCGTACTCACATTTCACTGACAACCAGCTCTCTGCTGAGGTCAAAGTCTCCAAACCTTGAGGTGATTTCCTTCCTCTACATTTATAAAAGCCTTCATCTGACTTAGTAACTGCAGAGATAAGCAGCTCCCCTCTGACAGGATTTGGGATGAGTGTGTTATTTTTATAGAAATCCACATTATAAAGAAGGTTTTCTGTTTTGAACTTGCAGCCAAGAGTGACGGAATGTCCCTCAGTCACAGGATGGACAGAACTCACCAGGATGACATCACCACCTGTAAAGAGACCAGAGGACAGGAAGTCAAACAAGCTGATGTACAATGAGGAGAAGACATTTATAGTTTACATTTGTTATTCACATTCACACAGTAGCTGAGCGAATAGCTGCATTTCATGGATGGAAGAGACGGCCCTTTGGTGACGTACATGCTCACAGTTACATCTTTAATTAATGCTCAATATGTCGGGAGACAAATGTCCACTTAGTGGCAGTGAGCTACAGAATGGTCTAAAAGGTACAAAGTGAGCAGATAACTCTACAGACGTGTTGGATAATACAGAGAAAAGATTAAGATTGTTGAATTGTTTGTTAAAATAAATATTGAGTTAAACTCATCATGAAGTCACCTTAAAAATGTCAGCACTCTGTAATAAGATGTGTAAATACTTTAGATATAAAAACCTTTAAATGAATATAAACTCACTGTGTATAGTGATGTTGGCTGCATTGCTGAACTGTGTTTCAGACTCACACCAGTACACTCCACTACTCGCTGTAGTGGTGTTGCATGTGGATCCAGTCATTTCTCCCCAGTAAGAACAGGATGATGACACGTAGCCATCTTCATCAGCCTTCTTCACTATCCACTCAGCAGAGTTTCCCTCACAGATCAGTGACAGTGACTCTGTGCTGAAGTGCTGCAGTCTGTGAGGAGTCACTGTGAGAGACGCTGCTGGATTCACACCTGAAGACACATCATTAGGAGACACACACAGGACAAACAATGTCAACACAAAAAGGACATTTATTCCCTTTGTGCAAGAATATAAAAGTCTGAACAAACTCACCTCCAGACCAGACAAACTTCACACGACTATACGAAGTGTTAAACCCAGGATCTCCTCTTCCAGCTCTGCACGCATATCCTGCTGTGTGTGTCTGTCCATGAAGAATGTAGGAATCCTGTTCAGTCCCAGTGGTGCCACCAGCTAGAAGCTCAGGGGTGTAGTAGCGTGACAGGTCTGGAACAGCCTTATACCAGAAGAACCTCCATCCTGCAGACGGAGGTCCAACACTGCAGGTCAGAGTCACTGAGTCTCCAGGACTCGTCCATGATGGAGACACTGTGAGGACAGGACGAGGGACATCTGTTGGAAAGAGGTTTGACAGAATAAAGACTTGTTATGATGAGTCCTTGGTGGATTACTGTCACTGCTGATGTCCTCCATCTTTTTATCTGTCTTCATGTGTTAAACAGGTGTTTGGTACAATGTCTTTAAACATAGTAACTAATCTCACATTTCAAATATTCTATTTCAGATTCTTTGTCCTTAAATCTGCACTTGTAAGAGCTCCCATCAGACATCAGAGAAATGGTGATTTCATGTGTGTGTTGATGGTTTGTGTCCATCTCAATAAGTGTTTTGTCTTTGTAGAAGTCAGCATTCTTCTCCTTTCTCTGGTCTCCATGTCGACAGTGAAGAGTCACTGATTCTCCTTCATACAAGGAGGACGCAGGAGTTAAAGGATCACGTCTCTGTCTGTGGAACAGTTACTTCTTTGCTTTACTAAATCAGTTTCATTAAATGAACAATGATACAAGATATCAGTGATTTATGTTTCCTACATAATTATAATTTAACATAAAGTTGCAGAAAGAAGAAGATGTCAAAGTCAGTCTCCCTGTAATAAATAATAAAAGGTTCACTGAGTAATGACAACATTTCACCTGAAGGAGGCGCCACACTCTGCTGATGAGTTTGATCCAATTCAGTTATGAATAATTAATCGACTAATTGACTCATAATTTGTCAATAGGGATAAAATATGGGATGGTTTGTCTTAACTTTCTTTTGTATTATATGAATGAATCAATATTATCTAATAATTTATCCTTTTAAACAAAGATCAGCTAATTAAACAGCATCAGTGTAACTTTCTCTCACACTAGTTAACATTTATTAATTATCACCACATTATATTATATCAGCACTTCATCAAACATGTTTATCGAATCAACACGTCACTGAGTGAGTTTTATGTTTCATTAAATGAAGCCAAGTTTCCAAACATGCAGCAGACGGCACAGAAGATGCTGCTGTTGTTTGTCTCTACGTGTGTGAACAGACTTTTAGTGATGAACACCAACAAAGCACCTCACAGGTCACAGTGAGTGATGAACACCTCACATCTGTTCTGAGAATTGACAACAAAACTAACAGCAGACTTTGATGCAGCGGCAAAGAAGGATGATCGACTGCACTGTTCCCATTAAAAGTCAATGTGAGTATCAACACTGTAAAGCCTTTTATGTTTATGGTTGATATGTTTGCATCTGGTGCTGCCCGACCCGTCTGTCAAACTATAACGTCAATGTGGCCCCTGAGCCTAAACGTTTGCCCACATCTGGTCTAAAAGGTACAAAGTGAGCAGATAACTCTACAGCTCCTCCTGGTTTAAAGTCAATGGTGGATGTCAATGGTCATAAAGAGGAAAGTAAACCACAAAGACGTGTTGGATAATACAGAGAAAAGATACTGCAACAAACTTAAGATTGTTGAATTGTTGGTTAAAATAAATAATGAGTTAAACTCATCATGAAGTCACCTTAAAAATGTCAGCACTCTGTAATAAGATGTGTAAATACTTTAGATATGAAAACCTTTAAATGAATATAAACTCACTGTGTATAGTGATGTTGGCTGCATTGCTGGACTGTGTTACAGACTCACACCAGTACACTCCACTACTCGCTCTAGTGTCGGTGTTGCATGTGGATCCAGTCATTTCTCCCCAGTTATAACAGGATGACACGTAACCATCTTCATCAACCTTCATCACTCTCCACTCAGTAGAGTTTCCCTCACAGATCAGTGACAGTGACTCTGTGCTGAAGTGCTGCAGTCTGTGAGGACTCACTGTGAGAGACGCTGCTGGATTCACACCTGAAGACACATCATTAGGAGACACACACAGGACAAACAATGTCAACACAAAAAGGACATTTATTCCCTTGTGCAAGAATATAAAAGTCTGAACAAACTCACCTCCAGACCAGACAAACTTCACACCACTATACTGAGTGTAAAACACAGGATCTCCTCTTCCAGCTCTGCACTGATATCCTGCTGTGTGTGTCTGTCCATGAAGAATGTAGGAATCCTGTTCAGTCCCAGTGGTGCCACCAGCTAGAAGCTCATAGGTGTAGTAGGGGTAGTAGTCTGACAGTTGTGGAACAGCCTTATACCAGAAGAACCTCCATCCTGCAGACGGAGGTCCAACACTGCAGGTCAGAGTCACTGAGTCTCCAGGACTCGTCCATGATGGAGACACTGTGAGGACAGGACGAGGGACATCTGTTGGAAAGAGGTTTGACAGAATAAAGACGTGTTATGATGAGTCCTTGGTGGATTACTGTCACTGCTGATGTCCTCCATCTTTTTATCTGTCTTCATGTGTTAAACAGGTGTTTGGGTACAATGTCTTTAAACATAGTAACTAATCTCACATTTCAAATATTCTTTTTCAGATTCTTTGTCCTTAAATCTGCACTTGTAAGAGCTCCCATCAGACATCAGAGAAATGGTGATTTCATGTGTGTGTTGATGGTTTGTCTCCATCTCAATAAGTGTTTTGTCTTTGTAGAAGTCAGCATTCTTCTCCTTTCTCTGGTCTCCATGTCGACAGTGAAGAGTCACTGATTCTCCTTCATACAAGGAGGACGCAGGAGTTAAAGGATCACATCTCTGTCTGTTCAACAGTTACTTCTTTACTTTACTAAATCAGTTTCATTTAATGAACAATAATACAAGATATCAGTGATTTATGTTTCCTACATAATTATAATTTAACATAAAGTTGCAGACAGAAGAAGATGTCAAAGTCAGTCTCCCTGTAATAAATAATAAAAGGTTCACTGAGTAATGAGAACATTTCACCTGAAGGAGGCGCCACACTCTGCTGATGTGTTTGATCCATTTGTGTTATGAATAATTAATCAACTAATTGACTCATAATTTGTCAATAGGGATGAAATATGGGATGGTTTGTCTTAACTTTCTTTTGTTTTATATGAATAAATCAATATTATCTAATAATTGATCCTTTTAAACAAAGATCAGCTAATGAGCATCAGTGTAACGGTGTGGTTTTATTTCCTGTCTTATTTTGTAGTTTTCTGCTTCTTGTCTCCCTGGGTAACTTCACTTCCTGCCTTGTCCTGTCATCCCCTGTGATTGTCTGATTGTTTCCACCTGTGTCCAATCACCTGCACCTTCCTAGTGTATTCAAGCCGTTTGTGTCTCTTGTTACTTGTTACGTCGTTGTCTATTGTCGTGGATGTCTCTGGTTCCTGCCTGCCTTTTCCCCCCCGGTTCCTGTTTGTGTTTTTGCCCGTTGGCCTTTTACTTTGTTGGAGTTTTGACTATTAAAGTCTCTTTTGTTTAAAGTCTGCGTTTGAGTCCTGCCTTTCCTACCCAACCCTGACAATCAGTGTCAACTTTCTCTCACACTAGTTAACATGTATTAATTATCACTACATTATATTACATCAGCACCTCATCAAACAGGTTTATTAAATCAACACGTCTCATTAATTTAAAAGTGCTTTAATGAACTCGTCGTGATGGTAAAACTTTGATCACTTACCTGATACACTTAGAGAGACTTTATTACTTTCTCTTCTAACAGGACGGATCTTGTGATCAGCAACACACTGATATTCACCACTATCTCCTCTAGTTAGAGATGATGATTTATACCTATTTACTGTTCTGTTGGTGGTAAAGAAATGATCATTCCGACTGAATGAGTAATTCCAGTCAGTGTCGTTTTCTTCCCTTGAGTCACATATGAAGGTAACTTTCTCTCCAGTAAATAAAGGGGACCAGTTTGGCTCAATATGCAGCAAAGCATCTAGAAACAAACACAACACGCAAAGAATGAATATTGTCTTCTTTCTTGTATTCATCATAAATTAACTAAAGAGAACAGAAATATTAAATGCAAAATAGTGATAGGTGTTTAATTGTCTTGATTGAATGTATCAAAATAAAGAAAGTTGTATAGAAACCTTGAGCGTGTCCACAGTAGAGGAGAATATTCAGCGCTAAAATAAAGTGAGAAACATCAAACTGACAGAAACTATTAACTTCTACATTTAAAAAGTTGTATGAAAACTATGATTTAAACAGAGAAAGTACTCACAGAAAAGCCCCAACGCACCAAACAAGGTGTGTCCCATCCTCACGTCCACGCTGACACTCAGCTTGTGAGAAATGATTCCGCTTCGTGTCAAGAGACAGTTTGAAAGGCGTGAAACATGCAGAGAAATGTGGAAATGCAGAGACCACAGAAGAATATCAGATGTGAGGTTTTCTCTGACTTCTGCTTCTGTTGATGATCCAATCTTTATTCTACAGTAGACATTTTATTTAAAATATAATCAGTGACCCATAAAGATGTTCCATCATTTCACAACGACTGATATAAAAACCTGATGAAGAGAAGTGAATCACAGAAGCTCGCTGAAAAAGACCAAAATAGATCCACCCACTTTTAATTAGACTTAAATGTAGTAAGAGACATTTTGTTTGATCCATCATAAGGTTCCTTCTTGTGCATCAAAGCCTCATTCGACTCTAACAGCAAAACTCAGCAGCAGGAGGATGTGGTGCATTCTGGGACGCCACTTTCATCACAACTGAACTGCAGCCTGAGACGTGGAAATTAAAGTGAAAAACATTTTGTATTCTGTTTTTTGGGTTGTCTTCTTTGTTATTTGCAATAGAAAAATAAAAACTCTACATCCAACTACACATTTAGAGAAGGTATAAAATGGCAGCAAAACCTTTAAAACACATCAAAAGAGGAAACAGTTAAGACTCTTTCACAATCAACCTTATTTGCATAAGACGAAACGGAGAAAATAGAGACGAACTCTTTAGTTCCTCATCTGTAAATGCATGTTGAGAAAAAGGAGGGAAACAATTAAATTTACTACATATCTACTATGCCAATGGTACAACATACAATAGCAATCACAGATAAATAGAAATACAATTATAAACCTTGTGACACTTAGTGTAGGACGATGTCACTACTTGAGGTGACACTTAATAAACTCCAGTGCAAGATGATAAACACATAAACCGCCTTCTTATGAACCTGTATGAACGACCCGTGATCAACAATTCATACATTAACTAATTTAATCAGGTTTGTTCTGGTAGTCGTGACATTGACGTATTTTATCAACAGTGACTTTAATGCGGCCTTTTGGATTTTAGGCTCCAACTCCAACAAACACCTCACAGCTGAATGTTTTAACAAAAGAATCGGTTCTTGTGACGCTGATTTAAAAAAGAAAAAGGTGAAATAAAAGAAATCTAACAAAACAAAAGGATTAAATGAAATAAACTTTTGATACTTTGTGCTTTAGAGAAAACTCTGCAGTCAGAGCGTGAGAAGAAGAAGCACAAGGCTTCTCAGAATAACCTTTCCTGTTCCCCTTCACACATAAAAAAAGACGTGTTGCTGTTGGTTGTGTGGTGTCACATGACCACGTTCACACCAGGGCTCATCCGCTTCTACAGAGGTGTGATACTCTGCGATGTAAGATAACATGTTTTAATTCTAACAAGTAGACATTTAATTAAGTTCCTAAACTGCAAAAACAAATCATTTAGCACTAATGCAGTGGACCTGTGCATTAGTGCACGTGATGAAGCAGATGGTTGTAGATCTTGTAGCTCGCTGCCAGGAATTGAATAAAGGGTTTTATAAGTGGAACCAGTCAGGGAGGCACTGGAGAGGCCTAGGGTGGCACGGGCCACCCCTGAAATTCGATTGGCCACCCCAAGTGCCACCCCAATACCTTAAAATATGATTGGCTATATGCCCAGTCAGAGGCGGGCCACGGCACTGAACGTAAACTGCACTCTTGTTTAGAGTTGCAGTTCCTTCTCAAACCTGACCAGTTCTCAATCACATTTGTATGTTGCCTTTTCCTGAATGTTGTGACTGTTCTTGCTTGCGGTGTTAGTAAGTGAAGTAGATATGGGTTGTGGATACAAAAAATGGTAAATTAATGCTATGCCGACACCTGGGTGTGGGTGTGTATTTTCGTGTGTGTGTGTGTGTGTGTGTGTGTATATGTCTGCGCAGGCGCTCCTGCTCACACTTCATGCCACCTCTGCATACGTCAGTGCCCCACTGGTGCCACCTCTATCAAAAATGTCTGGACACGCCCCTGCAGGGAGGGCCACGGCTTTTGGATAATGGGTCTCCCGGGTCACCTGGACAAGGCGACCTGGGACAGAACCCGAGCAGGCCGAGTCCCAGACGACTCGTAGGGGCCGACTAGGACGCTCTGACGCCCCCTTGTGGTCCTCTGAGGACATTTCAGACTCAGCTGCTCGGCGAGGTACGGGGAGGCTCTCTGGGAGCCCGGTGCCTCTCGCTCCGCCTCGTGTCGTTTCGTACCCACGCCGCCATCGCCCTCAGGTGACCTTGTCTCTCACAGTGAACAATTGTCACTATTACTACAACAAAGGGGGGGTCCGATGTCTCTTTAGGATTCATCAAGCCTGGAGATTTGGATATTCTGACATCGTAGGACCTTTATGGCGCAATGATACACCAGTCAATAAAGAAATAAGGTACTGTAGGATATTAGAAATAAACTGACGACCCGGTTCCTAAAATTACTAAAATGCATATAGTGTACACCAGAATACAGCCATGATTCTGAAACGGTGTAATCAATAAAGTAATGACAATATTGTAAAACCACTGTAATTCTGCAACTGTACTAGAATAATACCAAAGTACAGTTATGATTGTATATGATGCAATGTAATCAACTGGAATGCATGCATGTAATACTTGAACAACAATTGATATTGGATATGGGTCATTGGAAATCCGAGTTACATTAAAACTCACCAGAAGACCACTCCCAGAGGTGTGCACACTAACTTTCACACCTTTAAGCATTGTTATAAATACCTGTAGGAACCATTGTTCTGGAGTTTGCTGGTGGAGGCGACAGACGGGCACTAGGGACGGTCAAAGGACTGACCTGGGGCCTGTTGGTTGCAGAGACCAGTGGATCCTCAGCTGAGATGTTCTTTTTACCACAACACCTTTCTTTCATTAAATACATTTGATTTTAACCTTTCGATCTGCGATGACCTCTGTCCGTCCGGCGTTTCTTCATATTTGAAGACAACAGTACTTTATCGTCTCAACAACTCTGGCTGTTGTTAGTGAATAGTTGCCTTTCAGCACAAAGTGGTTGTAGCCACCAAACGTTGTGTATCTCATCTCAGTAGTCTAGAGAAAAAATAGTCCCCGTACGTGCTGTAAACGGCATCTCATTCATTCAGATAGCTCATGACGTCCACCTTAATTGTCTGGTTGTGAAGGCTTGCATTACGTGAAGATGATCATTTGTGGAATTTCCGGTCTTTTTTCGGCGATCGCCACTGAGCTAAAAGCTAAAATGTTACTTTAAGTGTGCAGCGATACAGAATGCTATAAGGATCGTCGGGATCCGAACCTGGGTCTCCGTGTAGCAGGCGGATTGCCTACCACTGGGCTACGAGTGATGGTGACTCAGGTGCAGAGACAGAGAGGAACGAGTTGTTTGTAGTGAGTCAAAAAAGGTTTCTTTACTTAGGGCGACTGTGGGTGAGTGGGGAGCACGGCCGTCCTCCAATCAGAGGGTTGTGGGTTCGATCCCAGGCCCGGCTAACCTGCATGTCGTTGTGTCCTTGGGCAAGACACTTAACCCAACATTGCTCCTGTAGCTGCGACTACAGTGTATGAATGGTAGTTACTGATGGCAGGTGTCACTGTGTATGGTTCTCCTGTCATCAGTGTATGAATGGGTGTGAATGGGTGAATGATGTCATGTAGTGTTAAAGCGCTTTGAGTGGTTGGAAGACTAGAAAAGCGCTATACAAGTACAGGCCATTTACTTGAAAAGAGCATTTCTAGAAAACTAACAGGGTAACTAAGGGTGTCCCAAAAAAGAGGCAACAAAAGATCTCAAAAACCACAAAGGATTAACAGAGGCAGCGCCTCTAGTCTCTCACATGGCTCATCTCCAGGTGGCAAGTTCCAAAACTCAGCAAACACAAAGAAACTCAGGTGGCCTCTTAAAGGCTAGAAAACAATGCACAGGTGAACACAATGAAAACAATCAAGACCACACACACACGTAACAGGATAAACTGGATCACTGAGGACCCCACATGGTCCTTCAGGGTACTGCAGTCCAAAACCCCTGACAAAGGCTCGGGTCAACGTGAACTGTATGTCATCGCTCAATAATGTACCGCTCGTGACTCACTCTCAACCAATCAGAACGCTGGATTTCATCCACCCGTATTATAAATAATGAGCATTAAGCCACATCGTGGCCGACAGTGCCGATAGAATGAGCTTTCTCTCCTGGATGTAAGTATGGACTGTTCGCTCGTTGAAATCTAAAGACAAAAATGTAGTGGTGAGTTGTAAATGATGTGCAGGTGCAAAGAAGCTGTCCACACCAACGAGTAGCGATTGAATCTTATGAAGCACCAGTTGAAACAACACACGTCGACAGAGAAACGCATCCTCACAATGCAGGAACGAGCTCCAAGGAAAATGATAACAGTCACTTAAACGCAGCTTTCTCTTGTTGCCTGAATTCAACGTTTTTGTATTATTCTGTAGTTTCTGCTTCTTGTGTCTCTGGGTAACTTCACTTCCTGCCTTGTCCTGTCATCCCCTGTGATTGTCTGATTGTTTCCACCTGTGTCCAATCACCTGCACCTGCACTAAATGTTGTAGTTGCACACGCGTGTTTTTGGAGGCAGTGAACAGTGTCCTGAACTGCAATTGACACTCAGTTAAAAGGGTTAAAAATGTGACCTGTAGATATGTGAAACTTCCCCAATTACTTATTGAGACAATTGGATGTTTTAATTGAGTCTTTTTCTGAACTTTATTGTTTGAAATATGCAAACGAGGCCTTATCGTATGCTAACTGATAATTAATCCCTCCGTGTCCGACCTTCTGCAGGACGACATTTGTCCTCACGTTCTCCTGCTGAAGGGGGAAAGTTTCTTTGTGCTCACCTGGGGCCAGAAGTGGCGCCAGAAGTGGCGTGCGGATGAAACATAGGACGTGCGTACGCACAGAATTCAATTCTGCTCCGGTTAATAACTGATGTGATGAAAATAAACCATAACAAATACCACGTTTTGTCATTTTTATTCAAATCCAGACATTGAAATGGAGCAAAGAAATACAAGAACAAAAGTGCAATGAGCAAAAGGATGACTGATCTGACCTGAGCTACGGGGGGGGGGGGGGGGGCGAATCAATGGAATTTTCTTGCGCACGTTTACGCTCTAATTGAGAGACATTCTCGGGGGGGGGGGTTGTAGTTCCGCCCCTGCTCACCAAGTCAAAGAGGGAACAGCGAGTACTGACACAGTGAAATGTCACAGGTTGATCTGCATGTAGACAACAACACAAGGCCGTCGCACTGGAACTGTTACACAAGTCAAGCGTTTCACATCACTGGGAGCTACTGAGGGAAGCGGCCACCACCTTCACCCACTCTCCCCGTTATTCAGAAGACGAACCCAAGAGGACATTAGAGTCCTTTTGTACTACAGATCACTTCATTCCTCACGTCGGATGAAAATCCTTCTGATGTTGGGAGGGGGGGGGGGGGAGACATCTTTCAGGGTCATCGAGTTAATTATTGAAGCTAAATGTGTTTTCCATTTCCCCCCAAAAACGTTTAATGCGAAAAAAATAGAGAAATAATAACTAAAGATTCTGCCAACCGCGGTAATTCCTTTATCAATAGTGATCTGCAGTGAATCATTAAATGCATCAGCAACGTCCCTCCAGGTTTTCTGTCCCAGTAACAACTACAGCGATGGTTCAAATACACCTTTATTCATGGACATCAAAAATAACCTTATTTACATTGTCGCTTATTCATCATATATTTGAGATATTTTCCTTTTGAGTGGTAAAATACTTTAGTCAACGTACAGCGTAAGTGCTCTGTTGTTGAGTTAGTTACATCCTCAGAGATCAAGCCGGTCTCATGTGGTGCAAAGCTGTGCAGCATTTCAATAGTTAACATATCAAACAGCCCCAATTGGTTTAATGCCTCTAATGACTCCAATCCATTGATCATACATCGCTATTGATTTATAGAAATAAGAGGACGTCACCAGCGCTTCAACCTCGCTGTGAAGTCGAGCTTCAGCTAAAAGCCTCGGCGTCATTTTCCCCTCTTTCCTCGACCGGCTTCCCGCCAACGCACAACAAGGGAGCAACGCACAGCAGCGCGTTAACAGCTTACAAGAAGTAATCTGCTGCTGAGTCACTGAGACGCTGAGTTAACCCAGATAACGGCTCTATAGAACCGCCAACACAGCACGGAACCAAGCCGGCTCACGTATGGCACGTCTTTACATCGAAGGGCGTTGAAATGTCAAAGACAGCAAAGAGACTCCATGAAAGCAGTGACATTTGGTTGATATGCAGTTATTTTTTTCTCCACAGAAACGATAGAAGTGGGAGCTACAGAAGCTCGGAGGCACATGTCCTTTTTGACCCTCGAACGACTCGTGAGGACTTGAAATGCACGACCCTTCAAAAGATAACAGCGTCCTGCTCGAGAGGGAGATAAGAGTGTGTGTGCGCTTGAGAGGAAGAGATTGAAAGATGTATCCGTTGTTCGTCTCCCAGCTGTACCGTCAGGGTGGAAGTTCTGCCACATTTGATCCAGAAACACAGTTGTTTGAACCTTTAACAAGACAAAAGGCAACTGTCATTCAGGGTCCAATTACTTTCTTTGATGAAGAAAGAATGAATTTCACTCTCTTCTTCTTGTTGAGGAGCAGTTTGTGGTAAATGTGTGTGTTTAATGTCCCGTCTGAGTTTGCTTCATAGATCTATAATCTCACTGCTGACGCTGGCGGAGTCGTCATGCCGGCTGACCTCCAGGTAGCTCCGTGACCCCGCCGGCCTCCCGGCCCGCCCCCGCGCCCTCTCCGAGTCCGGGGTGATGAACGGCCGCGTGTCGTCCACGCCGTCCTCCCCCAGGTTCCCCGTCGACGTCCTGGAGGGACGCAGCGACACGGGGCAGGACACTGAGGAGGGGACGCTGCCCGCCTCGTTCCCGGCCCACCTGTGACCCTGGTGGGAGGGCGTAGGGGGGGCGGTCACCTGCCTGCTGGGGACGCTGCTGATAATGCTGCCCCCCAGTGGCATGGAGGACTCGGTCGGGGCGTCGCTGCTCTCAGAGAGCATCTGGGGGTCACTGTTCCTGCGCAGCCAAGGGCCCTGGTTGACCCCTGACCCCGGGGAGGGGGACTGCGAGTTCAGGGTCAGGGGATGAAACAAGCTTCCTCCTCCGAGCAGGTGCTCCCTGTTGAGGGCCTCGTCGATGCTGCGGGTCAGGTCGATGGGAGACGGGGGCCGCAGGTCGAAGTCATAGAGAGACAGGGAGGTGTCCCTGTCCCGGTCCAGACTGCCGCTCGCGGACCGCTGCGGGGGCCGGCCCAGCGCCTGCAGCCTCAGCAGGGAGCCCGTGGAGCCGTCGGACACGCCGCGTTCTGCCGAGCGGCCCCGATGGTTACGCCCCCGGTTGCTGTCCTTGACACAGCGCGGCTGGGCGCCGGCCGGCTCTTGGTTCTGGTTCCGGATCAGACTCTTGCTGATGTCCGCGCCGGGACGCTCCTGCCCAGCCCAGTTGTTGGGCACCTCCCCTGGTCCTCCTCCTCCTCCTGCCCCAACTCCTCCTCCCACCCCGTTACTGTCAGACTTTCGACAGGGCTTCCCCCTCAAGCTCTGGACTATCTTGGACCAGCAGGTGTGTCTCTGGGTGGAGCCTGTGGACTGTCCAGGGGACGGCAGGTCTCCTGCTGCTCTGCCGTCTGGTCCGCCTTCCTCCCTCCCACGGCAACCGTGAGGCCTCCAGAACAACCAGGAACCCAGGAGCAGAAGGGAGAACCCCCAAGCCAGCTCCAGGAGCCGGGCCCAGAAGTGCACCAGCCACCATCCCCAGTTGAAGCGCGTCCAGCTTCCCAGCATTCCATAGAGCCATAAGGTGGCGTGCACGTGCAGCCCGCAGCACAGCGACCCCAGGACGGCGCACACTGCCAGCACTCTGCCCAGAATCACCCCCATCCTGCGTCCAGGTCCCGTCCAGGCCTTCCTCCCGGCCTCCTCGGGGACAGCGGGGCGGGGAACGGAAGGGCGGCGTATGCGCGGAAACACGTGGCAGAGGAAGCCGAGGCAGAGCGCCAGGCCCCAGCACAGGGACAGGACCTGCAGGGTGACGGGCACCACGGGGGACAGGGCCGGCGAGAGCAGATCCACCGCCAGCAGCAGCGTGCACTGCAGCACGGCCAACACGGACACGTAGAGGAGGGCGCTCCAGCGGGGGGGGCAGCGCGCTGACTCCCGCCACCCTCAGAGCGAGGAGAGCCAGGGCGGCCTGCGTCCACACCAGCAGGTGCAGAGGGAGGTTGTAGAGGGCCGTCACCGCGGGCCGAGGGAGCACCTCGCGGGTGCCGTAGGGGTCTATCAGAAAGAGGGCCGCCCTGAGGCCCCCGGCCACAAACAGCAGAGCATTGGCGAGCGCCAGAGCCCCCCGGTGAGGACAGTCGGCCCCGGGGGACAGGGTGAGGCCGAGGGCCGCTCCGGCGAACAGGAGGACGAAGAGACTCGCCGAGCCGTAGACGTGCAGCTCCCAGGCAAAGGCCAGCGTCCGGCTCAGGTCCCCCCAGTACAGGAGCGTACCGGTGGGGGGGGGGAAGGTCGCCGGGAGGCGTGGCTGGAGTGGACGTAGAGGCGGGGGCTTGGTGGGGATGTCCAAGGAGGATGGAGCGGTTACTCTGAGCAGGCCCGGCCTGATGCGTGGGGCTTAACCGCGTTTGGGGGACTCCGGTGGCGAGGAAGGAAGAGTTCACTGCAAAAAGACAAACAGAGATTTTAGATAAAAAAACTAAATGTTTTTAGTATAATTACTATAAATGATTTTCATCTGAAAGGCAGAGCTTAAGGATGAAAGGAAACAAAGTACTATTCAGAGCCACTAGAGGGTTGTAGCACATCGTCAGAGTCTCCAGTTCTTCAGCTGTGCACACACACACATTCATGCCTCAGTTCTACGTTTGATATAAATACAGCAGTTGAATAAAATCACGTCCTTTGCGCTTTCCTTTCTGAAACAATCAGCTCCATGTGTCTCATCAGTGTCCCAAAGGATGTCTTATAGAAATAACATCCAAACCCCAGACATACAGATTACAAATCACAACATTTTATATCCATATTTATATAATAAAACAGCTACTAGGTTGAAGAGTGACGAGAATGTTTACGCATTTGAATAATCAAGCTAAGACTTCAAGCATTGGAAGAAGATAATTATGTCCTGAAGGTCATGTTATAACATATCATGCCATAAATCTTTTTCTAACATTACACAGTTTCTAGTTTCTAGAGGACGTTGTGCAGAGCAAATCTCCTCAGAATAACTGAGTAGCAATTATCTGGATTTATTAGATTAGATTGTAGAGTGAGAGACAACATCTAAATGAACACTCTAACAAATTGCTGTAAATTTACGGTGCATTTCTAACGGTATCTTACAGTATGTCATAATAACTGTAAAATACAGTTAAATGTCCATCCCTCGCTTGTAAATTAACGGCCAATGTCATGAATAGTTAAAGCTGTCAATTTACAATAATAGCAGAATACCGTAATTCAACTGCATGTTACATATATTTTATGAAGTGGTGGAAATACACATACAAGTGCAGTGAATCACAATCCATCTACGTCTTTTGTAGGTTAATGTATGGAAGCCCACGTCAGCCACTGAAAAACAGGTCCTGTAAGTCATCCTAATGAGATAGTATCTCATGAGATACAAAGATGTCTTTGACTTCCAGGACATTACTATACATGCAGCTGTCACTTTTATCCTAAACGACTGCTCCTGAACGTGACATCAGACGCGTAGTCTCAGTTCATGCAGAACACCTGTCAGTGCCGTTCAACATCGGAGGAGTTTCTCATTGCCTCGTCTCTCCAAGTAACGTTGGTAAGTGTTATTTGCTTAGCATGATTAACATTCTCCTTCCTTACATCTTGTTGTCTTCCTCATCTTTGTAATTTTAATATTTTACCAATGACAGTGTTTCTAAATATTTTATTTTGGTTTGTTTTACAGAGGCACTGGATTAAGGACGCCAGCCGTTGCTGCGGTCAATTGAAAGTGTTCCATAGCGTATTGTTGCAGTTAGTTTACCTTGTTCCTAATAATTCTATGATTCATTTTCTTATGTGGCATATTTTATGTTTTGTTCTTGGTTACAAATGTCTAACATTTTTGTCTTAAAGGCATCTAATGAACTCCAACCACTATGACCGAAATGAGTTTGGTTGTCTTTCTATAATTTGTGGGGAATTAAATGCAAAAGTATACGGTTATAAGTAAACGGTACACTTCTGGTATTTATAACACAAAAACAGTAATCCTATGGTAACAAACTGTAATCCAATATACGGCAACATGCCGTATATTACGGAAGGGCACTGTAAATACAACAAGTTACTAGAGTCGACTGCTAGTAAATTGCAGTTAATTCACAGTAAAATTAGTTCACGTTTACGGTAAAATACAGTAATCCATTAAACGGTAACATACTGTATTCTACGGCAGTGTACCATAGAAAACATTTACGGTATTATACCGTAAAATAACCCAAATAGCCCAACTACGCTTCTCACTTCTGCCGGTTAATACAAAATCTGATGGAAAATCCACCTTTTTTTCCAAAAACACGTCGCCTCTCTTTCATGAGCTCCCGCACACACACACTTCAGTTTGCTCAAGGCAACTGCGCCTTATCCACTCGCACAACCTTGGAAACACCCAACAGCGTTAATCGTGGGGCCATTTATCACTCGTGTGGATAAAACGCACAGCACAAGAAAAAGGACACGCCGAGCATCGCGAACTGACGATGATGAACAAAGCAGAAAAGTAAAGTATTTAAAAAGGTACATAATAAAGGAGGTGCAGCTAAAGAGTATCCTCCTTTAATTGTTTTGTTAACTTTTGGACTGGATGGATGGTGGAAGCACACGATGGGCTGCCGGGAGGACGTTAAACCTGTCGTCACCGTGTAGGAGACTTTCATAAAGCTGACAGGACTAATGACTCACTCCAACATGTGTTTTCAGTTCCTGGTTCCCTCCTGTAACACACTCTTCAATGTCAGACTCACACAGGCGGCTGCTGGACGCACATCACAGACACACTCCTTTATTTATATAAAGATATGTTTTACTTCCTTCCCTAAAACTCCCCCCTTTTTTTTTTTTTTACTTCTTCTTACAGGAGCAAGATCCAGACACATTCCAGATGTGCTGATCACATTTCACAGCTGGATGCACTTACTGCTTTCCTTGAGCTTTCTCTTTTGCACACCCTGCTCACGCTGCTTTAAAATGGCCACAAGGGGCAATGAGCAAAAAAAGAAAGAAAAACATTCTTTTCCATCTCATCTGACACACCTTCGCGTGTTTATGACCCCGACGGATATTATCGAAATTCCATGCCAGACATCATTTAAAAACAGTCCAAAATACTCCGTAGGGTCCAGTGGTGCAGAGTCAGGAGACCTTTTTGAACCCAATTTTGAACCGACTTTTGAGGTGTAAGAGTGATCCTGAGGCGGGTCAACCTCTTAGTGGGTCCACATCTTAGTGGGTCCACCTCTTAGTGGGTCCACCTCTTAGTGGGTCAGCCTCAGGACTGGATGGTATTAAAAAGGTACGCACACACATCGCCGTCGTCCGTCTGCCCCAGTGAATCCTCGGAAAATACAGCTGGTATTCGCTGGCTGCAGGATATTAACAAGATGAATAAGTTGACCTGCCAAAGAACCTTTTTTTTTTAAAGTGCTCCTGGGAGGCTGAGTGTTTGAAAGTCATTGTCGTGTTATTCTGGTGGTCTCTAAGAGACGCTCACGCGTGTGTCATGCTTTTTCCTTTTCCATCCAAGTCTTTTTCTCCCCTCCCTTCATCCCGTCTCCGTGCATCTGGTTTTCCTTAAACTCCCTGCATTTCTACGCCAGCACCTTTTCTTCCATCACCCCCCCCCCCCCCCCACATCAATCCCCCCCACCTACCCTCCCAACTGCCTCCTTCCCAGACCCTAACCCCCCACACACACCTCCTGCCCGTAAGTTCTTCCCTCGCCGCGTCTGCCCCACACAACAACCGCCCCACTTTCCACGGAAAAGTCCCTCTCCCCCCCTCCTCCCCCCCATCCATCCTCCTCCTCCTTTGAAGAAAGTGAAAAAAGTTCCAGCTGCACAAATAATTCCATTTCAAATCATCAGACAGGCTTGAAAAACACTGAAAAAAAAGAAAAAAAGAAGAGATCTCCACTTCTCACCTGGCCGGGCCGTCGGTGCCGTCGTGCTTCTTCCCGGTTGGGCGCTTTTGTTTGGGCGACGTGATGTCCTGCCGGAGGTTCTCGCGGCCTCCCGCGTCGCAGCGAGCGTACCGGGTGTAGACGTGGTTGCGGCTCGCTGCGTCGTGGTGCCCCGATGCCCGTTCAGCGTTCACAGCGGGTCTGGCTGATGTGGTAGAGGTGGAGGTGGAGGTAGAAGTAGTGGTCTAAGGTGGAGGTGGAGGCGCACTCTGTCAGTTTACATAAACAACGGTAGGAAAGCGGCACATGTGACACGGCGCGTAAAGGATTTGACCTCTACGCCACCTGGCTCTCTCGCGAGTCGGTATATTTGGTTCCTCACCTGTAAACGCTGCGGCCCGAGGTGGCGCTCTGGTCTCGGTCTGTGGCGACGTGGAGGTTTTGCCGGCTGTCGTGAGCCCGGACAGTTGCGGCTCCGTCGGCGGCGGCGGTGTTTTGACGTCGAGCTCTTCGGACGTCGCCGTCTGCGCCTGGGGCTGGTGCTGAGCCATTTCATCAAACACGGTCGACGGGGGCCCGGGGGATTCCTCGTTCACGGGCGTCGCCGTCGGAACGCTTCCTGATCCCAACTCCGGCAAATCGTCACCCTCCGATTCTTTGAGCGATGGATTCCACGCAGCCGCTGGCTCGTCGCCCGCGGACCCAGAGACGGCGGCGAACGGCAAAGTGGGCACAGGAGGAGTTGAGCTCCTCACAGTAGCGTCACCCTTTAAAGAGGCCCGGCTGATCGCTAAGCTGGCGGTATCAGTCCTGGGCCTGGAGGCAGTTGGGTGGGGTAAAACTGGCCCGCTGCTGAGGTTCTTCTGCGTTGAGTGGGCAGATACAAAAGGAGGGCTGGACTGTGATCTCCTGCCCTGCTGCGCTGCATCGGTGGTCGTCTGTCTATCTGGAGCGGCGGCTCTGATGGGCACGTCGCTGCGCCCTTTGGGCGGCAGAGAAGGCCAGAATCTAGCGCTCTGCTTGGTAGGTGGAGGTGACAAATTTACGGGCGGGTCCAGAAGAGAGAACGAGGACGAGGAACCAATGACGGTCTGGGCATCTGTGGGATGGAGGAAGGAGAGGAGGAGGCCCAGGAAAAGGAGAGACATGGGAGCCATGATCTGGCTCTGAGTGGTGACCTCTGGCTGTCCGTCCGTGTGTCCGTGTGTCACACCATCCTTCAACTGTGACGCTGTTGACAGACAAAAACAGCTCATTTTAACATTTAATTTAAAATATCTCAACTTTTAGGTACGAACACCATGCGGCAACAAGGGTCTTAAAGCTGCATTCTCTCCACTGGCCAGCAGGGGGCGACTTCTCAGGTTGCAAAACGTCTTATGAGACAATGACTCGGCTCGTTTGATTGACATTATGAACGTGAGTTGGTAGATTAGTTGTATGTTTAGCTAGCTAGTTAGCCGTTGGGCCATGAGAGAGCTACGGGGAGAAGGTTGGTCCAAACGTTTGGCGATTCGCATCTCCTGCGGTGACGGTATCATGCGGGATATACCGTTAAACTTATCTCCATCTCTTTGTGTTACTTCTTGTTGCATAAAACTAACATCTCTCCTATCACACACACACACACAAAAGGCAAGAGTTTTCCCTGTGAGCTGCGTGAACCATGAAAAGTAATAAAAGACATAAGAAGAGGCGTCACAGATGGTTTCATTCGGTGGCAGATGGACACATCCACTTTTTGTTTCTTGCCCTCACTAATCCCTGCCATGAAAACGCTCTTTGGGATGAATAGCAGTTTCGTTCTGGTCCAAAGTTTCCGGGCGTCAGCGACGATTCTTCTTCACGGACGCCAGGAGCTGACAGCTGTGGTGCGGCGACGCTGCTCAGAGAGCGCAGTGACACGGAGAGGCCGCGGCCCCCCTTTGAGGATTACGCAACCCCACGAGTCATCGGCAGCCAAACAGCTGCCGGTCGCATCCCCCCCCAACATGCACTTCTTGTCAAATAATCAAACCCTTTTTCTTTTACTATTTGAGCCTCTGACTTGCATGAGCCTCCCGTGTTACCATGGCTCCCTTCCTGTGACTCACATTGGGAGATAACCTTGGGGGGGGGGGGGACGGCGAGGCTCACCCTGAAACTCCACATGAAACATTATAAGGGAAGGGTCAAAAAACAAAAACCTGCCCCTGTGGGAGAATTCATTGTGCTGCCGATGACTCAGCCAGGGTTCATTCACAGCTGCACGTGCACATTTCGTGCTCCGGTAAATTGTGAGTAATCGAGTTTGGAGAAAAAAAGAAAAAATGCCACCGCGCAAGACGTCTGTGAGGGAAACGCAGACTAGAACAAGACGATCTCTTTCTCTTGAGCTCGGCCTCCACTGGTCGGAGTTTCGTCGACCTGTTTACGAGCTGCATGGCGGGTGATCCTCACGCAGCAGCTCGACCAGAGGTGAAACATCTGCATGTCCACCGCTCACAGAATATCCTCAGTGTTTCTTTTCCTTCTCGTCTCACACCTCTTCTGCTCTGGGTCCTAGTCTGATGAATCCCTGCTTTTCCCTTCTCGTTCTTCTACCGCTGCGTGACTGGAGTTGTTTCAACAAAAAAAAAAAACATGCAGGCGTTGAAAGAAGACGCAGAAGATAGGGGGCGTGAGGGGTGAGGGGGGCGGCTGTAAGAATGCAGAGATGAAAGGTAAAGGCGGAGGAGGCCCGGTGATGGAGCTGACGGTGGAGGGACACGGCGAAGGGAGGGAGCGAGGAGCACTAAATTGAGACGGAGAGAAGTCGTGGGGGGGGGGGCAGTGGATATTGAATATACTGGATATTTGAGGGGGCGGGGAGGAAACGCGAGAGTTTTTCTTTTTTCCCGCTCAGGTGCTGCAGGCCCCTGGGCAGCCGGCGGCAAACAACCCAATGGTTGTGAAACACAACGTAGCATCTTGATCCAACATAATCCAGCACGTGCCCGCGGTGTGTAGGCAGCGGAGATTAATGAGCCTAAAAACACGTTAGGACATGTGGTTTAGCGAGGGGGGAGGGGGGAGGATGCGGCGCCACTGTATTTGCAACGCTGTCAGCTTTAATCCAATCTTCCATTGGATCCATCGAGTCTTAAAAACCCCCCAAAGAAAGATTTTTCTTGGACTGGATTTAGACAATTCCACGTCATGTTTCCATTGAAGTAAAACAAACGCGGGCAGATCGGCTCGCCCATCGAATGTCGAAAACCCGGATGCTCTCCAGACAACACACGGACAACACGTCCCTCTGTGAGACACCCCGTCTAATTTGCACAGGGGTTCGCGTGTTGTGTGGATGCAACGTCACTCTCTTGCCGCACAGTGCGCTCTTTATCCGGGGGGCAGGAAATGCTGCACGACGCCCAGCAGAACAGAAGATTACTCCAAACTGCTGCTGACACCGTCACACGAGTCACGTGATACCGATCACTCAACCGGTGCAGCACTGATGTCATGTCAAATATGTAAAACTGTCAAATAGAAATACGCAATAACATCAGGAATCCCCCCCGATTGAAGTTGCATTCTGGCAAATTCTAAAGTTTGAACAGCTGCCTGCAACATTTGAGAGGTGTGGCTTCTTTTGGCCGTGTAGAAAATGCATTCCTCAAACAAAGATATCAACACAATAGCATTCGCTACCATCGGGTTCTGCAAACATTGAAGCGTGACAGACTTGCGAGGCCGTGCTTGAGCACAGAGGTGGTTTGGGCCAGGCGCTCACGTCGGCTTCCAAACACAACAGTGCAACCGCGTTCGCCATCGCAGCGCGTAGCATTTATGGAATGCCGTTTTAGTCAAAATTAAATAAATGAATAAATACGTAAATACATGAAATTTGCATTTGAAATACATCATGAAATAAATAATTGGGGCAATAAATACATAAATATTAAATACATTTAATTATTTCATGGTATCTGCAGAAAACCCATGTTGATCGATTTGATCTGCTAATGCTAGCATGCTACCTCGGAGCCCACCGATGTCTTCCATTATGTCAACACTCACGCCCCTTAGCCAGCCTTCTTTTGCACACGGCTCTGTTGTCTGTTCTGAATGTTAGATGTAGCCACGCCCCCTGATTTGCATATAAGAACGTGAAATGTAAAACGGCATTATGAAATAAGTCTCTGGAAATGAAAAGTGGCATTATGAAATAAAAGACTCTGGAAATGAAAAGTGGCATTATGAAATAAAAGTACCATGAAATAATTAAATGTATTTAATATTTATGTATTTATTGCCTCATTTATTTATTTCATAATGTATTTCAAATGCATATTTCATGTATTTACGTATTTATTCATTCATTTAATTTAGACTAAAACGTCATTCCATAAGCATTAGCATGCTAACATTCTCTCACGAATGTGGCGGAGGCAGACGGAAACGTCCTTATCTAACCGCGAATGTCTGCACAGCTTTTTCGGCCAGTAAAAAAGGCTGAGATGTTTCACTGCGGAAAAGTGGCGGGAAGACCCAGCGGAACGCCGCCCTCCCTGGCTGGGCGTCCAACACCCGAGTGGACTCGCGGCGTCCGATGTCGAGGTGCTCTCCAATGACCGGGAGGGACGTGTTCGCGGCCAAAGTCACCCGTGACTCAGCTGAAAGGCAGCGCCTCAAGTTGAGTTAATGGGTGACAGCGGCAGGAGGAAGTGAGACGGGATCAGAAGTATCGTCCGGGCGGGTGGAGGAACGAGGTTTGAAGGTGGGGAGAAAGAGACGGGACTGTGTGGCCTCTGTTAAAACTCGCCATGCAGACGTGTAACTTGTTTCCAGAGGGGGGGGAGACTGTGAAGCAGTGTGAAGTCGTGGGTGGGATGGGGGCTGGCGGGGCGGGGGGGGGGCGGGTGTGGTTAGGCTGGTATGCTGGAGTAGTGGGTGGAGGTCGCCAGTGCGACCGTTAAAAATTCCACACCTTGAAATAACATGTGGATTGCAAACTGCTCCCACAAGATTCACCGGCTCCTTTTAAATAATAGCTTCAGGCAATAAAATGAAATAAACAAACGAAGAAGTAGATTTATAAGGAGAGATATGAACCCCCCCCCCAAAAAAATGCATCGGGGATTTTTTCCAGGCGCCTCCTCTGCCTTAAAGCCCAAAGCTGTCGAGCTCTCAACACAAACAAACTTCTGTTAAAAGATGCCTCTCTCGCCCCCGGTTGAAGGGAGGCGGGGGGGTCAAAGCTCCTCTGGGGTCATGCCGAAGGAAGGGAAGAGGCTCCATAACCCATCGAGGACGCGTTTGATCCCCGTCCGAAGGCGGAAGTCCAGCTTGGAAAAATAAACCCAAAAAAAAAAAAGACGCTGAGCCGTGCAATATCGTCGGCTGAACGTCAGTCCCACCCGTGCGCCACAGGTCAAGGGTCAGCCTGAAAGAGCGAGGCCTTCACACCGTGACTCCGCCACACACACACACACACACACACACACGCTGCACTCGATGGGGTGCAACACAACACCTCCCTTATCGCACATATCGGCAAACAACTGTAGGGACATCAACTGAGAACTTCGAATTGGCACTCGCAAAACAAACCCCAAAAAACCACACACACACACACACACACACACACACACACACACACACACACACACACACAGAGATAACGGGCGCGGCGAGTGATTACAGGCGTAAACAGCCCGCCTGCTGCAGGGAGCCCGCCGCCGCTCCACCTCATCACAGAGACTCTCACTCTGCTGCAGCTGGACGCCGTAAAAACCCACCGCCGCGTCGAGTGGGGCTGAGGCAGACAAATCGCATGTCAATAAAACAAAAAGTTATAGGCCCGATTGTTCCGTACCTCTAGTTGCATATTCACAACTGCATTAATAATTCAACCATGTATACAGCTAAAGAGACCCAGCGTAGGATCCGGTCGGGTCAAAGGGCGTTTGAGCTTCGTGTTGCTCTTGAGATAAGCTTTGTTTTGCCGGGAGGACGGCCTGTTGGGACGAGTGTGTCATGACTGCGGTCACCCGGGAGGGTGTTGTTTAACCCTCCTGCCACTTTAAAGTTGTTGTTGTTGTGTTGATACAAGATAAGCCTTTAGACTAAGCCATTTACTCAACACCGAGGCACGGATCATCCTCCCTTCGCACCCGCTCCCTCTCAAAGAACCACCTCCTGTGAACACAACTCAGACAGCTCAAATATCTCTTGATTCCTTTTCCTTTCTCTCCCCCGTGAGAGGATCAGTGTGCGGCTGCTGCTGCTGCTGTTGTTGTTGTTGTTCTTCTGAATCTGAGCAGCGCGTCTCACCCAGACGCCCCATTTTGGAGCGGCTCGTGGCCGCGCACCGACGGTGAGAGAGGCGCGTCGCCGCGGCCTTAAGTGGCCGCGTTCCAACACTGATGAGGAACAGGTGAATCCAGCTCCCCCGGTAGTGCTGCGGCCCTGTCTGCGCACGTCCCCCTCGTAAATACGCGGTGAACACGCACAGCACGCCGCGCACCTGCCAGTGGCGGCCAGGGGGAGAAAATAGTACCCGACTTGTTGCTGTTTCACCAAAGTTATTTGCACTTGTCCGGTGCATTTAAATGTTCGACGTGAAACGGGAGAAGCCGTGGGACCGAATCCAATTTTTTTTTTTTAACGTAAACTCCGTCTAAACACACGAGCCATTCGATCCGTGCTCATTAAGCCGCGCATACCGAAGTAGCCAGCTGTAACCTAGCAACGGCGCCGCCACAATGTAGCGTACACGCCGCTCGCCCGGTTTGAAGTTGAGAGATTCGATACGTTCAAAACGACGCACCGGGCCGACGTGACGCGGGCGGCGGCTTCTCAATGCGCGTCACAAATCGGCGCTCCGGACGTCGGCGACCGCCGCTAACTGCGCACGTTCCCGTCGGCGACCGTTTCCTCGGAGGCGGGCCGGTGGCGGTGACGACGCGCGGGCGCGCAACGTTACGTCTACGCGGTGGGACCCGCGCGGTCCTCGCCCGTTGTTCACGCCGTGACGTTACCTGCCGGGGTCTCTGTCCGTGCGGGCTCCGCTGCGACGGGGCTCCTCTGCGGCAGATGCGACGCTCAGCACATGGTTCCCCCCCGGCTCACCTCACTTTCTCTCTCTCTCCCCCTCGAGGTCGACGCGTTGCGTTAGTCCCGGTTTGAGCGTCCAGCGGCCGCTGGGTGTGTCTAAGCGTTAAAGCGCGCTCGTCCTGTCAGCGCACGGAGAGATTCGGCAGCCTTGTACCGCGGCCAGGAGCTACTGAGCAGACGAACGCTCCCCTCCACACACACACACACACACACACACACACACACACACACACACACACACACACACACACACACACACACACACACACCCCCACCGCTCCATCCCGCTCCCTCCCTCGCGCTATCGCCTCCCGACCAACCTACCGACGGCACGCGCATTACGCAACAGCAGACCGGCACGCAGAGGCCTATACCTTTTTTTTTTGGTTGGTCAATTTTCGGTTTGTGCCCTGTGGAAATATGACGCCACTGGCACTGACGTCATCACGCAGCGTGCAGTGACACTATCCAGTTTCTGTTTTTCCCCCCGTGAGATGATGCAGCTGCAAAAATGAACCTGCTGGGTTGTTAAAGTGGTGTGGAATTAGTTTTTATTTTATTGCAGCTGCAGCAGCGCAGCTGGGACAATGAGCTGTGCACGAAACTCTACCTCCCTCGCCTCCCCCCGCCCTCCCATGGCCCTTGGGGGGGGGCAGGGTTTGTGGAGGGGGAGCCAAGATGACACTGTTTTCACATGCAGCACCTTGGCTCAGTGCCTCGCCTCCTCTATAACTGCCCTCTATCCGTCTCCTGCACAAACACAACCCTAGTTTGGACATATGCTCGTTGAGGCTGCAGCCTTGCCCCCCCGCCCCCCCCCCCCCCTGAAAGAAAGCCGGACGGTAACCGGGTCTGTGCAGAACCCTCAGCAGCAGCAGCAGCAGCTCTGTGTCATTGTTTCCCTCCCTTGTCACTCACATTAGATTGTGTGCGGTGAACGGTCTTAAAATAACCCGTGCAGCTCAGGGGATTGTCCTAATGCCATTACACCGCCTCTGAGCACGCAGGACGGACACTGAAAGGCTGGGACGTGAGGACCGGGGGACACATCACGTAATCCCGTTAGCCCGCACATATGGAGCGAACTTCTGCAGGGATCAAACCGCACATTTTTAAAAAAGCCAGTTAATTTAGTTTTGGGAAGAGACGTGTCATTTGGATTGTGATCTGCTGCGCTCGTCTCCCGAGTGACGCGTTCATCACGTTGTCATATTAGTGGATTATCATCCAGTTATGTGATGCTAATGAGATCACTGTAATCTGGTGTACCAGATGGGGATCTGGTTCATTAATTACATATTTTCAGAACACAAAGACGCTGCAGAGTCTTTCCGCTTGTGTTTTTCTACTCATTGTTTAAAGTTGATGTGAGGAACTTAAAGAAACGATCTCTTTTTAGGACGAATGTCTCCATCCGACCTGAATAACGTCGAGCAGAACGCCGGCGACAAGGCCGGGCTGTTCCAGAGTTATTATTAACCACTCCACACGAAAGCAGATGGAACCCCGCAGGTTCACCAGAGACTCGACCCCTGATAAAGCGGCGCCTCCTCCGGGCCCGGAGCCGCGTGGTGAGGCCCGCCGCAGGGAAGAACCAGAACCCGACCGGAGAACCCCCTCCTGCAGCTAAATGAGAGGATTGGTCAGGGGACCATGGTGCCTGCAAACACCCCCACTTTAAGTTCTTAATAGCTTATATGGGAGAGATCACGGGTTCAGGGGTCAGATCACATGGCGTCACATTCAGGTTTTTTCCTGAGAAAGAGATGTTTGAGTCTGAGGCCCAGTTTATGCTTTTTCGTTTTCACAGAGACGCAAGACCCCCTTGCGTGTCCCTTTTTTGTGCCTTTTCACACCTCCTTGCGTGCGTCGATCCATTTTTCTAGACTTGCGCCAAAAGCGACGCAAGCCTCCTGCAGCCTCCTGCAGCCTCCTGCAGCCCGCAAGGCTGCGATTGGTCTGCTAACTACATCCGTTCCGGACATTTCCGGTTTCATAGCACAATACCGCCATTATTAAAACAACGATTTTTTTACGAGAGAATGAATCAGATTGAAGAGCTTTTGTCGGAAGAAATGCGTAAATATGAGCGCTTCTACAAGCCGTCATTGTCGTGACTGTGAGGACGCGCGGATGGCCTCTGATTCGCGGAGGGAGATCGGTTTGCCGGTCGAGGGGAGCAAAGTTATGGAGGAAAATACGGGACAAATGTGTCCGCGATGAAAAGCAGCAGTGTCGATGCAATGAAGTCTATGATAAATAAATAAACAAATAAATAAATAGACGTGACTCTCTAGGTCGTCTTCGACAAAAACACATTGTTCTGGCGGTGAATTGCTCTGCAACACACGCAATACGCAGACGCATCCGCAGACGCAGACGCATGCGCAGACGCATGCGCCGGCCTTGAGGAGGCGTCTCATGGGCGTCGGCCTCCTCAGACTCATTTTGGTTTTCCTTTTCCATCTGTTTTCCCCTTTTGAAATCAAATCATTTAAATCTCTGCGAGCAGATTAACCCAAACTACGTTACAGCTCCGCGTTGCCTTTTGCCGACGGCTCTTGCGTCACTTGGGGCATTTCTAGCACGCTTTAAAATAAAGTGAGAGCAGTATTTAAAGCTCTGACGCCGACGACAACCAAAGCGTCGCCCCCCCGAGGACTCTAGACCATCTTTGTCCAGGAATGCTGGGGAGACATTCCACTTAGTGACTTCAACTGATCCCGGCAGTGGGGGGGGGGGGGTCTCTGAATTCAACACGGGATCAGACGGACCGTTCCCTCTTCCGATTTAGACGCATCGAGCGGTTACCGAGCCCCCCCCCCCCCCCGTCCGATGGCGGAGGGCCTCCGTTTCCTCCTCCATGCATGAAATACTGTATCTCTCTATGCGGCGCTTCCCCCTCACTCGACAGCCGTCTAGACACCAATAAAATAATCTCCCCCAAAGACAGACCCCCCCCCTCCACTCCCCCCTTCATCCCTACAGGCCGCCTCCCACCCAGCGGCGTTGGGTTTCACCACATCCAAGGTGAGTCAACCCAACTCTCCGTAAATTGTTTCCATTTTGGGTATTGTGTCTGATGCTGTTATGTAATACATCTGTTAGTGTTCAGGAACAATGACATCCATCATTTTAAGTGGAGGACAGAGCGGATGTGTTTGGAGACCATCTTTGGGTTCCGAGTCAGACAGACAGACATGAATGGAAAAAAAACAACGATAGAATAATGTTTCCCCCCCCCAAACAGTTTATTGGCTCTAATATAAGTGGCTGGAATCTAGAGACACAAAGTTTATTCCTCTAGCTCTCTATGTAATATTATCTGATTGATTTAATCTATTTAAAATCACTTCCCAGAACTGCTTTGTGGAAAAACAATCGTTGGTGCATCGTGGGATGATTTATCAGGCATTTAATTTACTGGATTATCCCAAAATAGCTTCAATAATCTGGTTGTTTTATTCATCCTGGAGCTGCTCATTCACACACACACACACACACACACACACACACACACACACACACACACACACACACACACGCACACACATGACTGGACAATTAGGTCCCCTACATCTCTCTAACTCGCCTCCACCGAAGCATCTCTCACATTCCGTCACTCGCAGAGGATAAAAGGCGCATCTGGAAACAGAGCAGAGGCCTTTTCCGCTGTGGTTTTGGAGTCGGGGCTCCTGCGGGTGGCGCCCCCTGCAGCCCTCGGGGCGTAACGGACGTCCTCTGAGACGAGAGTAGATCAGACGAGAGACGTCCTTTCGAGCGAATGATTCCAGGGGCCACGACCCGGAGGCGAGAGCGCTTTTGCTCCTTCTTCAAGCGGCGCGTCTCCTCCTCCTCCTCCTCCTTTTACCGTTCTTCTCTTCTCCGCCCCGAAGCCGAACCCTCGGTGCTTCGAGATGAGAGCTGACTCACGCGTTCATTAACACGCACGGCCGCACAAACGTCCACAAATAAACATCGTCTATGGATGCAAGACACTAGTGATGTGTCGTTCGTGAACCATTCGTTCATTTTGAACGAATCCTTACAAGGACTCGAGAGTAACGAGTCCTCTCCAAAAAAAGATTCGTTCATTTTACTGAACGGTCGGTAATATCTTACCCCCCCCCCCCCCCGTCAATAAATGACTCGAAGAAAGATTCATTCGTTCATCTTACCCCCCGACATGAACGAATGACTCGAAAAAAGATTCGTTCATTTTACTGAACGAGATTCAAAGAACCGAGTCGGTAAAAAAATCCGAACTTCCCATCACTACAAGACACGCATGGTCACACACACACACACACACACACACACAGTGACTACTCGCATGATGCACTTGCTCACTTACGCCAACAAGAAAATAGCCTTTTTTTTTTTGAAAGCCGGGCAGCAGCGACGTCCTTAATGTGCAACGCTTGGAGCGGTTTCTGCACGCGCGTTTTAAACCAGACTAAAAGTAGCGCGCGCGTCAGAGGTCAGGCGGCCCGCAGACGCACTCGTGCCGTCACACAAGCCCCGAGCGGACAACCGCAGTCTGCTGCTATAAGAAGATCCGACAGAACGCAAAGAAGAAGAAACACGAACGCAGCATTTCGGGGGCCGCGTGACCTTTGCAGTCGTCGGTGTGCTGTGGAACGGGGGCCCCGGGGGGTCCCGGGGGGGCGCGAGGGCCCTGGCAGTGAAGTGTTCACCCTTTGAATGTGTTGTTCTGATATTAAACAAGTCTGTCTGCCCACTATGAGTCACATCTTTTTACTAGTTGCCTTCCCATGTATACCGCCACCTGGGGGCCTCTTTTGGAAACCATGTGAATTTCTCAGTTATTGTCTTTGAAAATACGTTACTGTTCATATGTGAGTTGAATAACTTGTCACACTTCCCTGTGTTGACAGAAAGAGAGTTCACCTTTTCCTTAATATCCAATCTTTGTTGTTCCATGCTCAGATTTATTGAAGTGATCATCAGGGGATGGCTTACTACTCACAGTTAGTCATAGGAATTGCATGTATTATACATTGTTCATTCTGTACACATGGCATCCATTGTAGTCTGTCCATCCCGGGAGTGGGATCCCTCCTCTGACGTTCTCCCTAAGGTTTCTTCCCTTTTTTCCCTCTTGGACGGGTTTTTTCATATTTTGGGGAGTGTTTCCTGTGCCGATGGAGGGTTTCGGGGCAGAGGATGTTGTATGTGTACAGACTGTAAATTTGTAATTTGCGATTATGGGCTATACAAAATAAAATAAATTGAATTGAATTGAATCTGTCTCTTGATAGATGATCTTTGTTTTTTCCGTCGTCGACTGTTTTTTGGAAAATTGGAGTGAGCAGAAAAGATAAATGAAGAAACTCCAGACGGACAGAAGACATCTTGTATTGAAGAGTATTTAATAAAAAGAACATCTCAGCTGAGGATCCGCTGGGCCCATTGACCCCCCCACATAGTGACTGTCTCTTGCCTCCACCAGCGAGAACAATGGGTGCCTACAGGTATTTATACAGGTGAGTAAAGGTGTGAAAGTTAGTGTCCACACCCCTGGGAGGGGTCTCCTGGTGAGTTCAATGTAAAAGTAAACCAAGCAGACACTGACACCGAAGAGTAAGCACGTCTAAAGAAAAAACCCTGAGAATCTTATTACAATAACTTCCAATATTGGAATGAAATATACAAACACTGATATATATATATATATATACATATTTTAATATATATATATGCATATATATATATAATATATATATATGCATATATATATATATAATATATATATATATGCATATATATACAGTGCATCCGGAAAGTATTCACAGCGCTTCACTTTTCCACATTTTGTTATGTTACAGCCGTATTCCAAAATGGATTAAATCAAGAGGTCTTCAACGTTTTTCAAGCCAAGGTCCCCCAAACTGATACTTCTACGGAGTTTGGTCCGCCATCTTTTATTTTTGAGCTTCACGCTCTTTAGATGTGAGCATGAACGATTGGCGAGTGAGTGAACCGGGGCCCAGCTTGAGAGCTGCTGAGGGAAGCTGAGTGTGTTGCGGACTGACAGATGACGTCTTCTCCGTCAATTTATCCGCTCGCTTCAATATGTTGGATTCATGTTAATGTGTATTTAAAGACCATGAATACAATTCTGATTCTGAAGACATTTACATTTGTGGGGAAAAAAATTGATTAACCAAATTAACCAAAAATTCCGCGACCCCCCTGCAGTACCTTCGCCCTGTTGACCTCTGGATTAAATTATTATTTATTCCATATTATTATTATTTATTATTTTCCTCAACATTCTACACACAACAACCCATAATGACAAAGTGAAAACTGTTTTTTGCAAATTGTTGCAAATCTGTTAAAAATAAAGAACGAAAACGTAACATGTACATAAGTATTCACAGCCTAGAAAGTCCCAGCTATATATTTATAGCTAAATATACAAATATATATATATAATGTGTAGTACTGTAATCGGATGTGAGCTCCTGACACGAGGAGCGTGATCACCTCACTCCATCACTCCCTCAGGCCGACGTCTTCGCTTTCTTGTGACGCGCCGGCTTGTTCCTCCCTCCCTTCGCATTTCCACTTCCCTCGGCCTTCGCGCCCTCGCGAGCTACCGTCACCTCCTTCTTGTCCTCGTCCTCGTCCTCGTCCTCTTTCTTCAGCTGCGCCGTTTCCCTCAGCGGTTGGAACTTCTTGAGTTCGGCACAGAACCGCACCTGTGAGGCAGACGCAGGGAGGCCCGTGTGGGTGTGGTTAAAAAGCGAGAGCGAGACAGACGCGTGACGGACGGACGGACGGACAAACGGACGCTCGCTCACCGACTGCGCCCAACCGGCGCGAGGACCCCACAGCGTCCTGAAGAACACCCCTGCTCAGAGAGAGGACATTTTTAACGTTTTAACGTCTCGTGTTAACGAGTAAGAAGCAAGCGAAGTACCCGTGAGGTGCACGCCGGTACCGACCGAGGTCCCGTTGCAGTTTGTTGGTGATGCTCTTCGGTGCTTTGCCGGCCGTGTATCCGTAGTCCCGCTTGGCGATCTGCCACACGTGCGTGTCCACGGGCACGGCCTCGGCCTTGTCCAGGGACATCAGACACACGCAGTTCGCCACCTGCACGGGGAGCCGCCACAGAGCCTCGGTTACACGTCACCTGCGACGAGTTCACCGCTGGAGGGGTCGGCTGCTCTTTACCTTGGCGCCCACGCCGGGGAGAGCGCACAGGGCCTCGTGCGCCTCCGCGTACGGGGCGGCCCGGAGACCCTCGAGCCACCGGGGCCCGTCGGCGGCCAGGATCTGCGCTGCGCTCCGCTGGAGGAACGGAGCCCTGTATCCGAAACCCAGATCCCTCAGACGGGCCTCCACGCCGCCGCCTGCCAAAGGGGAATCGAGCGGAGAAGTAAACACAAACGGAAAGAAGAGGTGGAGAAATGTTGGCCGTGAGATTCACGCACCGCCCAGCTCTCATTATTTCACTTATGGTATTTCTTTTACAAGGAGGTTTGAAGTTCCATAAACCAGGTGACACGGTTTTAATAGTAGTCAGATGGATAAAAGTACACAAATACTTATATTATAGAAAATATTGGTTGTCCAAAATCCAAGTAATATATCATAGTAGGTTAATAAGCGGAAAAATAACTACTGCCACACACTAAAGAGATTCCTCCAAACCATGACGCCTGGCAAAACAAAAAATATCGCAAAAAAACTACTGAACTGAGAGAATAAAGTACCAGCGAGCGCAGACAGGGAGGGGAAGTCGTGGTAAGAGGTTCCGTCCAGCGTGCCCAGCGGGGCGCCCAGAGCCTGACACAGCCTGTCCACCATGCCGTGTATACGGGAGATGTGGTTGTTGGCGGTGCAGATGATGGAGAACAGACACTCGGTGGGGTCCTGGCGAAGCACTCGCACGCCTTAGGAGAGGGAGGGAACCGAATACATGTCAAATATTGTGTATTTCATCCGTCGCCGTGTCATATTGCGCGGATGCAAACTGGCCTGGGAAGGAGGCTGCGATGCGCTGGAAGTGGGGGTCTGCTGCTCCCCACTGCTGGTACAGATCCCCCAGACTGACGTTCAGCTGGAAGTAGTCCCTCAGCATCTCCGCTTCCTCATCGGTGTCCTCGGTCACCGGCTCCTCCTCCTCATCATCCTCCTCCTCCTCCTCCTCCTCCTCCTCCTCATTCACAGCTCCTGCGGAGCTCCCCCCTGACGACCCTTCCGTGTGGAGGGGAACACCCGCTCTCCTCTCCCGGGGCCCCGCCGGCTCTCCTCGCCCGCCTGAGCTCCTGTGGACGTGGTACCGGAGAGCCTCGTCCGTCTGGCTCAGAGTCCAGACGCGCCCTCCCATCACTCCGGTCCAGTGCCCTTCTGCGGTTTCCCTCCAGCTGTGCGGGTTCAACTTGTGTCGTTACGTGTGTTGATCATTTCATAGCGGCGGAATAACAAGAGTTAGCGCCTCTGCTCACCGGAAGGATTGTCCGCAGGCGAGAGTGAGATCCAGACGCAGCTCGGACTTGGCGCAGGCCAGATATCGCCACATGTTTCCCACCGGCAGCAGCAGCGCGTGTTCGGCCATAGCTGAATGTTACCCCCGCTGTGGTGGCACGTTAAAAACGGACACAAACTCAGTGGGAGCCAGAGCCAACCGGGGCACGGGCAGCTCGCTGAGGCGTTTCCTGGTCCAAGCCGAGGCGCCGCTCCCTCGGAGTCGAGCCATAACTCCCGAACAGCCGGAGGAGGCAGTTGCCGCTAGCGGGGATAATGATGGACAACAAAGACTTAACACTGGGCTAAAGTTAGTTGTGTTTTAAAAGAAAATAATTCACGTTCAGTGAATTCATTATTTTTATTTATTATAGAATATATAATACTGGATATTAATTTACGAAATATTACTATCTTTACAGTCTTAACTTCATGTCAATAATATTCAGGAATAGTTTAAATGACAATCTGATGCAACAATGTGCAGATCCCGGAAACACCTCCCTACTCCTGTCAACACAACTGCTGATTGGCTCTCTCAGATAAGATGGGCGGTAATGTCAACCAAGCCAATAGCCGATTGGTCAATACCGTGCGTGCCCGCGTTGTCCTATTGGCTATTATTTCGGTACCCCTTTTAGCTATACAGGAAGTCGACCCCTCGCTCTCTCTTCTGAAAAGTCGCGTGAGGAGGCTGGCGTGTCACAGAGGCTCGGATTTAGCCGGTTAAGACGGTGTAAAAATGGCAGATACGTTAACACTTTTCACTTCCATTGGGCTCAGTGAGCAGAAGGCGAAAGAAACGATGAAAAATGAGGCGCTGAGTTCCGCCCTGAAGGAGGCGATTATCCAGGTACGAATATAGTTCTTCGGGTAACTGGAAGGGACAGCTGTGGAATGCTGACTGACACCGTTTTCTAGTTCCCTTGTTATACAAGTTAAACAGTTCTTTACGAACTAGTTATATGCACCACTTCATCAAGAGGACCTTACTCTCTGGATACGTTTCTCCAGGTTTTCACTTTCACATTCACACGCCTGTTTGCAGACACTTCTCCCATCGTAAAGATCCACTGCAGCACTTCCCCGTTGGACTGTGACTCAGTCCTCTAGCCGGTTGACATGCATGCTTTCTGAAGGACGAATGAATTGTTTCCTGGTCTTCTTGTCCTCTGCTTCATCAGGCTCAGCGTGTCCGCGGGGCATCAGGGGTGGACAAGGCCGCCGGTACCCTGCTGTACAGTATGGCGTCTCGCCTCAAAGACCCCAAACGCCTGGCATTCCTCTCCGACAGCATCGTTCTCTGCAAGATCTGCACAGAGCTACAGCTGGCAGGTAATGTCCGCCATCATGCTGCAACCTGCATACTTTTGGGAGTATATCGCACTTACTTCATTCACCCGCCACCGTTCACGAACATAAAGCGCAATTCGCCGGTTCAGTCTACGTGATATGCGTCACACTTTTTGCTGTATTTGCAGCTGCGCTGGAATTTGTAAAGAGTCATCCGGAGGACCCCATCGACCAGAAGGCGTTTGAGCGGGCGTGTGGAGTCGGCGTTGTCGTGACACCCGAGCAGATCGAGGAAGCCGTAAGTGAGCCCGTCGATCTCCACTGGCGCGCGTGTGTGTGTTTGTCGTACCTCCGTCAGCATCGCCGACTGTTGAATATCCTGCAGGTGGAGTCGATCATTAAGAAGCACAAGGACCAGCTGCTGAAGGAGAGGTACCACTTCAACATGGGACTGCTAATGGGTATGACGTCACACATACTTGCAACCATTAAAGGCCGGGTTGTTAATTCTGGGAAACTAGCAAGCGTTTGCTCGCCTCTTTAGAAAGTATCCAACTGGGTTCTTACTACAATGTCAGCACAGATAATTAAAGTTAGTATTTGATTTAATGATTGCTGAGAATTTCAACAAATCTAAAGCCTAATTAATTATTTATTAACGTACAGAACGTCTCACTGGGCTTTTGTTTCCGCTGCAGGAGAAGCCCGCTCGGCTCTGAAGTGGGCCGACGGGAAGGTCGTCAAAAACGAGGTGGACTTGCAGGTGTGTCCTGAAAAAGGATGCTATTTCCATTGTGATTGCACGTTGGCGTCCGAGGTCGTTGGCTTTAGTCGCTGCGTCCCGTGACTCTCCCTGACTTTGTGTTGAAGGTCCTGCACCTTTTGGGTCCCAAGACCGAAGCCGACCTGGAGAAGAAACTTAAGGTAGAAACCTGTGAAATCGCTTAAACAGCCTAAAATGCTAATTTGATTCCAGAGTCCGTCCGATTGTTAGTCCAAAACCTCGCCGTTGAATAATAAATCTTCATCTTCATTTGGATTCAACAAACTAGATCAATGAGCTTCAGCAGCTTATCCCTTGTTCCCAGTCCTTATGCTAAGCTAACGCGCTGCTGGTTGTAGTTTCACATTAACAGATGTTACAAACACCATCTTCTCACTCACGTTTTAGTCACTAAACTGTTTAAAACAATCCCCCTTCAGTCAGTCGTCTGCTGAATCGAACTGTTTTGCAGCCACAGAAAGCCAAAGCTGCGGGCGGCGAGGTGAAGAAGAAGGAGGAGGACGTGGCGCTGACTGGTACGCGGCAGGTGGACGGCACATCCGTTTGTTGTTGAGCTCCTGTGTTTGTTTGTTTGTTTTGACTCGTGCCCGTTGGCTGTTCAGAGGAGGGGGTGAGCGGCGAGGGAAAGTCTCTGATGGAGCAGCTCAGAGGGGAAGCGCTGAAGTTCCATAAACCAGGTGACACGTTTTATCTTCTTCCCACTCCGTTTGGAGCCATTTTAAAGGATTTACTCGCTGGGTGTGTTGATCCTTCATCCTCACCCTCCACCCCACAGGAGAGAACTATAAGACCGAGGGCTACGTCGTCACACCGAACACAATGGACTTGCTTAAAAAGCACATGGAGATCACCGGTGGACAGGTACACGCTTCAGAGGTGTCACCGTTGGAACACGTTAACGGAAGAATCATTATGCGCGTTGACTTTTTCCCGCCTTTTCCCCACATAGATTCGTACTCGTTTCCCTCCTGAGCCCAACGGGATCCTTCACATCGGACACGCCAAAGCCATCAACTTCAATTTCGGTTACGCAAAGGTTTGTGTCTTCCTGTTCGCCAGTTTGTTTCAGCGTGCTTCATAGTAAAGGGCTCCTTGGTTTAAGAACATTTAAGGAAAAGTTGGGTTCCGGTGCAGCGGTCCTCTTAATTTTTTTTTTAAAAGAATGCGCGTCTCCCCGAAGGCAAACAACGGAATCTGCTTCCTGAGGTACGACGACACAAACCCAGAGAAGGAGGAGGAAAAGTACTTCACGGCCATCCGGGACATGGTGGAGTGGCTTGGTGAGTGTGACTGTGTTGATTGTGTGTGTGTGTGTGTGTGTGTGTGTGTGTGTGTTCTCACCGGACTCCTTACACGCAGGCTACAAACCGCACGCCGTGACGCACGCATCCGACAACTTCCAGCAGCTCTACGATCTCGCCGTGGATCTCGTCCGCAGGTGAGCACGGGGGAGGAGCGGCGGGCGGGCGGTCAAACGCTCGCAAGCTCCGGAGGTGACGCGGCCCCCGTCTTTTTTTTTTTTTTTCAAAGGGGCCACGCGTACGTGTGCCACCAGAAAGGGGAGGAGCTTAAGGGCCACAACAGCCCGCCGTCGCCGTGGAGGGACCGCCCCGCCGAGGAGTCGCTGGTGTTGTTCGAGCGGATGAAGAAGGGGCTGTTCGCCGAGGGGGAGGCCACGCTCCGCATGAAGACGGTCATGGAGGACGGGAAGCTGGACCCCGTGGCGTACAGAATCAAATACACGCCGCATCATCGGACCGGGGACCAGTGGTACGAAGCCGGTGCACTCTTCTTCTTCTTCTTCTTCTTCCTCCTCACTTTTGGTTTTTGGAAGAAAAGAAAAAACCCGTCCGTCCTCGAGCTGCGTTTCATCCTCTCATCCGCAGGTGCATCTACCCCACGTACGACTACACCCACTGTCTGTGCGACTCCATCGAGAACATCACGCACTCGCTGTGCACCAAAGAGTTTCAGGCCAGGTACGCGCGGCCTCGCTCGCGGCGCTCCTCCGTCTGAGGTTCTTTTTCCTTTGCACACAAAGTTGACGTCGTCTCCCGTCGGGTCCCTTTTTCGTGTCCGCCGCAGGCGCTCGTCGTACTTCTGGCTGTGCAACGCGCTGGACCTGTACTGCCCCGTCCAGTGGGAGTACGGCCGCTTGAACCTCACCTACACCGTCGTGTCCAAGAGGAAGATCATCAAACTGGTGGAGAGCGGCGTCGTCAGGTGGGAGGGTTGTTTGTATCGCATTACATTGTGTAACCGTATGTGATTAATATAATCGATTAGCTGTAAAGACGCTGAATGGATGGAAATGTGCAGTATACTATCATCATATACGTCATTTGTGACCCCCCCCCCCCCCAGAGACTGGGACGACCCCCGACTCTTCACTCTGACCGCTCTGAGGCGAAGAGGCTTCCCGGCCGAGGCGATTATCAACTTCTGCGCACGGGTAATAGGTCGGCCCGGGGGGAGGAGGGAGGAGGGAGGATGAAGAATGAGGAGGAAGGAGGATGAGGAACGAGGAGGAAGGAGGAGGAAGGAGGAATGAGGAGGAGGAGGAGGTGGTGGAGGAGGAGGAGGAGGAGGAGTGAAGTCATTTCGTCAATCTGTCGGCAGGTCGGCGTCACGGTCTCCCAGACGACGACGGAGCCCCACCTGCTGGAGGCGTGCGTGAGGGACGTGCTGAACGACACGGCGCCCAGAGCCATGGCCGTGCTGGAGCCCCTCAAAGTCACCGTCACCAACCTGCCCGAGCACTCACAGGTGTGTGTGTGTGTGTGTGTGCGCTTAGTGGTGAATTTAAAATGAACATTCTCTTCTCACGTCTCAGTCGGCCGTACGAGTGCCGAACTTTCCCGCCAACGAGGCCAAGGGCAGCCACACGGTGCCGTTCGCACGCACGATCTTCATCGAACAGAGCGACTTCAGAGAGGTAAGAGCGGGGGGGACCCTCTCCTCCCTTTGTGCTGCTTTATTTTTGGGGGGGATTCCCGACAGAAGATGACGGCCGACCGTCTCTGCTTTTTGCAGGTGATGGAGAAGGGCTACAAGCGTTTGACCCCGGAGCAGCCTGTGGGACTGAGGCATGCTGGGTACGTCATCTCCTTCCAGAAGGTCATCAAGGTGAGGCCCCCCGAAATCACGAGGTGTGGTGTGTGTTTTCTGTGTTGTTTTTCTCATATATCTCAATCTCTAGTTGCAAGTCCTCTTCAATACAACCTGATCATAAAGTAAAAATGGCTTTAATGTATGATGTCAGCGATCCCTTCGGCGGATGTCTCCCGGTCCTCGTCCCGCTCACGTTGCTTTGCTTCCTCAGGACGCTCGGGGTAAAGTGGTGGAGCTGGAGGTGACCTGTTGCGGTTCTGAGACGGCAGAGAAACCCAAGGCCTTCATCCACTGGGTCAGTCAGCCGTTGGTGTGTGAGGTTCGCCTCTATGAACGCCTGTAAGTAAAAGAACCAAATGTGTATATATCACGCTCGCTGTCGTTCCCAACCAGTGTTCCACGTAGGAAACTCGCCCTAACGAGGCGTGCCTCTGCCCCCTGCAGGTTCCTGCACAAACATCCAGAGGATCAGTCCGTGGTGCCCAACGGCTTCCTGAGTGACATCAACCCCGTGAGTACCTCCGCCCCACTGCGACTGTCTACATCGACGCCGATCGCTGAATGCGTTTTCGGACCTTTCTTGTCCTCGTTCAGAGTTCCATGCACGTGATCAGCGACGCCTTGGTGGATACTTCGGTGAGGGGAGCAAAGGTTTTAGACAAATTCCAGTTTGAGAGAGTCGGCTACTTCTCCCTGGACCCCGACAGCACCGCAGAGAAGGTACAGACCTGCTACAAGTGCCTACCTAAATAATTCATACATACTGTGTAACGTGTGACTGAATCAGTCTCTGCCCTGCAGCTGGTCTTCAACAGGACGGTCACCCTCAAAGAAGACCCCGGGAAGATGTGATCCAGCCAACGGTCGAGCCGCACCTCCTGCAACCCGCGAGCCCACGGACACGCGCAACAAACGGGTTTGCGTGGATGTGTCGTTTTAACAAAGGAGCCGACTGCTCGGGCTGAAACAAACCAGGCGCGGTAATAAAGACAAGCCCCTGTTTCTAAAATGCGGTTCCCTTTCATGGATCTGTCTCTCAGAAGTTGTTCTCTATCTGTCGGGATAAGATTCACATGCAGTGTTTCTGCTTTGTTGAATGAATGCGCCGTTGATCATGGACGACCTCGTGTGAATTAACATAATACGAGGAGACGCTTTCAAGTAACATACAATATCCTTTTTTTTACAAAGGTGGCAGAGCACTTTTTTAAAGACTCAGACTGGTGCAACTGTGTCCTTTTGACATGAGACATGAATAAATAATTCAAAAAAATCAAACCTGTCTCTGTTTATAGTTCCTGAAGCTGATATTAATATTCTACAACCTGTGATATTTAAGTTAATGCCGTTTGGGTATAAATCAATTTGAGTAGAGTTAGATATTTGGTTATGATTATTGTTTTCTTCAATCAATATTGAATCTAAAGTTGAGACCGTATTGATGAATCTGTTCTTATGTTGATTTTCCAAGTTTAGAAAACAGTATCACTTGACTGACTGACCATAACGTCGAAGCGCAAGAACACAAGATATTCTCAGCTGATAAACACACCAAGGCCAATAATGTTGATAATAGTGGTGTATTTGTTTTTGTAATTCCACAGTTTAAATTGTCATAAAATCTTGACAGACAAATGCTATACATTTGCAGAGGTCATAATAATAAAAAGAGTTGTACACATCAGAAGTTCTATAAAAAGGTAATTTTCAGGTACAAAATGTTATATTAATATGTGAATATAAAGATACCAATAAGTGTTGCCTACAAGGAATAGAAAGTTAAAACAATGAAATACACCCGAACAGACCACGGTGAAATAACGCGTGGGAATTAACCATCGCCGGGCCAGAGCTTCATGAGCAGCGCGCCTCCATTGAGCGCATCTCTGCGGGACCACCTTAAAAGGTTGAGAAGCCAGTGAGCCACTAGGAGCGGCCGCCTGGGCCGACCGGGTTTTAAGGTGGACTGACATCTACTGGATCCTCACGGATACTCCGCTTGTGTGCGTCGCCTTTAAGGGGCCATCGCGCGAACTGTAGTTATCGCGATGTCACCGTTCGGAAATACCGCGGGATTACGAGGTGGTTACAGCTCGCCTTCCGATTGGTCCGCCGTTTCTGGTGTAAAATGGCGCCTTGAGAAATGAGTTGTTGAGAAAAAAAAAACAACTACAGTTGGCCATCTGACGAAAATAAAGAACACTAAAGAATAAAGCAGCTCCCGGGGAAACGTCGGTAGCGTTAAGCCCCCCCGTTCACTCGAAGAGGAGCGACGTTTCCAGGGCAGAGAAGCGCGTTTGAGGAAGAGAGGTAGCGTTAGCTAGTTTAGGTAACGTTAGCCTGCTAGCTTCGCAGGTGACAGAAAAAACAAATGCAGTCGCTGCAACGCCTCCGACATGAGAGCTACCCCGGTGTCCCTTACTTTGTTGAGAACGACGTACTACGTAAGATGTTGTGCTGTTGTTTGTTACCATTGACAAGTAACACCTTTGTCAAACACGCCTGGGTTGTTAATGGCAGACCGCACGAGGCTAGTTAGCCGCATACCTGGCTAACCTAGCTTGTCGTGTGGTCAGCTGTTGACTGACAGTTGAGGAGCCACTGCACCGTGAACACGGCGTCACTCAATCGCCGTGCAAAACGTGCATCTGGTCACGATGCAGCGGTTCGAGTGCTGCGTCGCATTTGGAAAGTGGCCGCGCTTTGGTCCCCGCTCGTACACAGTGAGATAGATTTAACCCTTTCGTATTATCATCCGCCGTTGGTGCCACTGGATTGCGATCCGTCGGTTTATCATTTCGTTAAGTTTTTCGCAGCGTCCGACTGCAGCCCGTTTTCGATTGAACATCAATAATCACGTGTCCGTCTTTTAAAAATGTTATTACGTTTGCATGAAACTAATCTTGATGGTGTCCTTGATCTGTGATGTAATAGTGATTGCAGCGTGCAGCCACTTTAAAACAATCCCAAACGAATTCTGCCTTTTGCTCAGATTCCACCTGAAGAAGACGACGCTGCCACCAGCCATGAATAACTCCCTGGACGGATCAGGCTCCTACGAGGAGCTTGTGAGGCAGAAAGCTCGGAGCATCCCTCAGCATCGCATGAAGGAGTTCCTTGAATCCTTGGCCAGCAAGGACCCCGATGCCCTGCTAGAGTTCAGCCAGCAAGGCGGGGATACTGCGACCACCACCACCACCACCATGGTCTACCAACAAGAGGCTAACTGCATCTACACAGACAGCACAGAGGTGGCAGGGTCATTGTTGGAGCTGGCCTGTCCGGTAAATCGGTGGACTAAACGCCGACTCGATCAAAAGGAGCCCCGTCCTTGAAACAAAGCTCCCTGACAGACGCTGTCTTTTGATGCAGGTTCAGCCGCAGCAGCAACAGCTACAGGAGTCTCAGCAGCAGACTGAACATCAGAATGCAGAGCAACAGATAGTTCAGGTCGGTCCCTTTTTTAAGATCCCTTTGTGGTTGTCTCTTCTCTGTTCAGTCCACAAAACACCTGTTATCCCTGTTTGAAGGTGCCGATTCAGGGCCAGCTGCAAGGTCAAATGCTTGGTCAGGTCCTGCAAGTGCCCTCTGGCTCACATCAACAGCTCCAGGGCGTGACTACTGCACAGCTGATTCAGGCCGGCGATCTCACTGAAGAGCAGCATCAACAGGTACATACAAGCAACAAAGACAAAGAATCATGGCTGAAAAGTTTTCCTTTATTTACCCGTACTCTCCTCCCTCTCGTGTGTTGTAGCTGCAAGCCCAGTTGGTGGCCGCGGTTGCAGGAGGACAACAGATCCAAATCCAGACAGTGGGGGCCATGTCTCCCACCCAGCAGCAAGACAGTATCGAGACGAGAGTCCTGGGGACCACCGTTGCCACATCACAGGGAGCCGGGGTCCTTCAGCCCGCCAAAAAGCGTAAGGTTGACATGCCCATTACTGTGTCCTATGCCCTGCCTGGTCAGCAAGTAGCCACAGTTCTGGCTATCCCCCAGGGACAGGGACAGCAGCAGAGCTACGTGTCCCTTCGGCCCGACCTCCTAACCGTGGACAGCTCCCACCTTTACAGCGCCACCGGCACTATCACCAGTCCCACGGGGGAGACCTGGACAATCCCTGTTTATTCTGCTCCCGCCGGAGGCCACGAGCAGGTCACGCACATCGCCATCCCCCAGGAGGCCTATGGGACGGTGCAGGTTGCGGGGCCAAACACTACAGCGATGAGCACAATGCCAACGCACGTTACCGTTGATGTTAACGACAAGCTGAAACTTCAAAGTCAGACGGCGCAGGCCGTTTCAAGCATCACCAGCTCCGGCGGGATGTGCGGCCAGGAAGAAGTGGTGCACACGCTGTCTGCGAACACGCTGTTCCCAGCGCAGCTGATGAACGGAAACATCCACATCCCAGTGGCCGTGCAGGGCTACTCCAACACCACCCAGTCCCTCATCTGGGATCCGCAGCAGCAGGTGCTGCACACACAAGGACTGTCGGGGCAGGAAGCCCAGCATCTGCAGGTGCTAACGCAGGTGTTGCATTGCTGTCTCTTTCTCCTTCCCTTTTTGTTTTTGGCCGGATACAAACAAATTTCTGGTTGTTTTTAATTACGTAAGGTGACGGTGTTGGTTGGTGCGTGTGCGCAGGGTCAGACGGTGGTAACGGAGATCGATGGCCAAGGCCAGCAACACGTGCAGGTGCAGGAGCTGCTGCTGCCGGCCACCCTGAAGCCAGAGGAAGGGCTGGAAGTCTGGCGGCTTTGGGCTCAGCGGAAGAACGCAGAGTTGGAAAAATCCGACAAAAATCAACTAGCCCCGATTGGCCGTAAGTGCACGTGGAGAATGTGTTGCTAAACAACACTTGATGCTGGCATGTGTTCACTCAACCTCGTGTGTGTGTGTGTTTCAGGACGCCAGGCACTGCGTTTCCAGGAGGACTTGGTGTCGTGCGCGGTAGCTGAGCTCTGCATGGGTCTCTCTTTGATGACCACGGAAGCTCGGGGGTTGGAGGAGGACTCTTATGAGGCCGATGTTCTCTACTATGTATTTCTGTGCATACAAAAAGTAAGTGTATCGTGCACGTAAAAACCCTGTTTGTCCGTTCCACCTTTTTATTGGGTCCCTCTTGGTACTGATCGCCGCCGTGGAACCACTGGCTGACCGCGTCTCTCCGACTCCCTCCTGCAGTACCTGTTCGATAACGGTCGCGTGGACGACGTTTTCTCGGACCAGTACTACACTCGCTTCGCTCACAGTCTGCACCGGATCCTGGAGCCTTGGAGGTCGTCTGTTCATCCGCTTGGTGTGTGGACAAGAGCCCTACGATCGATGTTCCGCAGTGCATCCCAGCACCGGCTAATGATAAGATCCCGTTGTTTGTTTGGTGTCCCAGATGTTTTTCTGTGATATCATCAGAAAGCCGCGTGTCAGTCGGCGGTCTTTTGCCTCCAAACAATATCCAGGATATGCACAGTGTCTCATTTGACTTTTTTCCAATTAGTGGAACCTGACGACTGCGTTTTGCTTGTTGGCAGCACTTCTCTTGTTTCAAGCTAAATGTGCCATCACTCAGAATATGACGGGATTGGTTTTGATTTATTTAAATGAACTCATCATTTTGTTGGCAAAATCTACCAAATGCTAGTATACTACGAGTTTCTTTGGTGGAGGGCAACCACATTAAAGACCCTACACGTATATTGATACAGGAAAGGCAGCGAGCTGCAGTCCTGAGCTTTGAGCTTCGCTGATAGCACTAAGTAACCAAGCAAGAAGCTGCTCCACCAAGACTACGGAGCTCTGCAGAATGACGTTAATGATTAAACATTACTGTGAGGATTCGTTTCCTTGTGTCTAATCGTGTATTCCACGTTGATAAACATGCAGGTCTTCATAATCTGCCTCCGCTTCCAGGTTATATAATTCCCAGTCATGTGACGGAGGAGATGCTGTGGGAATGTAAACAGCTGGGAGCTCATTCTCCCTCCACGCTGCTCACTACTCTGATGTTCTTCAACACCAAGTGAGTGGTTTAATATCACCCTTTTCTTTACCGCTTCATATTCAGTAAATCACTTATTCATACAGAACCTTTTTTTTAAACAAATCAAATACAATTCAAAGTGCTTTGATTGATAAGATGACAGAAAATGGAGAGAAGATGCACTGATGCACACACCTGGTGTTCTGCTCCCACGACACACTGAACATCCTCCTCCAGGTATTTCCACCTGAAGACGGTGGAGCAGCATCTAAAAGTGGCCTTTTCCAAAGTGCTGAGACACACGAGGAAGAGTCCCAACAACCCCAAAGACAAGAGCACCAGCATCCGGTACCTGAAGTCCACGGAGCGCTTCATCGGCCAGAAAGGTAGGAGCGGCCGTGATGGTTTTATCGTGAGAGGAGAGCCGACATTAGGGATGAATAACCGGTTTGATGCTGGTTCAGTCACAGACGACATGTACTCGGAGCAGCTGGAGGACCCGGAGAACCCGCTGCGATGCCCCATCAAGCTCTACGACTTCTACCTCTTCAAATGGTAATAAACACTTTTTCTTTTTTTTTAGACGCAACTCTTGTTGTCGACAACTCGAGTTGCGCTCGAGCGGTTTCCCTCCATAGACACCGTTGCCAGGCAACTGACCAAAACACGCAGTTCTTTATAATAACTCATTTTACTCAAAAGGTGGAAAAATATATTTATCTTCCTCTTCAAGAGGAATGCATTTAACTTGATTTCCCCCACTGCCAAAAAGTCTCCTTATCATTTGTGATCATGTGATAATCTGAAAATAATAACTAGTCAATTATCTGCTTCACTAATTCTTTCGCGCAGTTATTTTTTGCAGCAAGCTAAATGGAGCACTCGATTTCAAGATGTCCTCTTAGGCTCCGACTAAACCTATTTGGCAGTTTTTCACAAAAAACGCGTCCCGTGAATGAGGAATGTGGCCAGATCCATAATAAAAATAATGGTGAAAAACTTCAGAATATTTAATTCATGATGTTTGCAGAGACGAGCTGAACTGTAACTTTGACATCTGGCGCAAACAGAGAATGTGTCGCCCCGCGGATGGCCGAGCGCTCACGCCGTGTTCCCCTTCAGTCCGCAGAGCGCCAAAGGTCGCAACGACACCTTCTACCTGACCCCCGAGCCCGTGGTGGCTCCCAACAGCCCCATCTGGTACTCCACGCAGCCCATCTCCAACGAACAGCTGGAGCAGATGCTCGCCCGCATCCTCGCCATCCGCGAAATCCAGGAAGCCGTGAACATGCCGGAGAGCGCGCACTAGTCGCGCAGGGGGAGGGGGGGGTGCCCAACTCCTCCCCCTCTCCTGGCTTCAGCCGGCCTTCGATTGCTCGTGGTGACGGGCGGTTTCCTCTCCTCGCGCGCCCTCCTGTGGTCTCGCAGAGTGGCGCGTTCATGTTTGTATTCACCATGCGGCGGCGTGTCTTACATTCACACACTGTGCAGACAGCAGATACTGATTTGTCTTATTTGAGCGACCTCTCGACCTTCTTCTCTTTTTTTTTTTTTTTGGCCAAAGAATGTCCGGTCATGTTATTGACCCTGAACTCTAATTTAAATGTTTTTTTGAACAGTTGGTTCTCCTATTTTTGTTTTTACCAGCAGTCTGAAATGATCATTCGCTGTTTAGTTTTAATCTGTAATATATTTCTCATATATTTTCCCCGGCTTGTGCCTGCGCTCTGCTGCTTTTCATAGACATCCTTTATTGATGCGCTTCCCCTCATCTGCCTTGGTCACCGTTCAGTGTCACAGTGAATACCTCACTGGGTGTTAAGACTACATGAGTTAAAAAAACATGGGATAAAAGCCCATTTTTCAATCCTTTGGACCTGCAGAAACGAGCACTTACCACACGGTGGGGCGTTCTGGAATGCTGCTGGATCCCCACCCTCCCTCCCCCCGCTCCTCCCCCCCCGAGAACTCACTCGGATGAGTTATCTATTGTATCATACATGTGAATACACGACAGAGGAACGACTCAGAAGTGGGTCAGCCCTTTTATGTTGTGTAATACTCGTCGCTCCTTGGTGGACTTAATGGCTCGTCTGAAGGAGAACGGCAGTGCCTGTGTGTTTATGAAATATGACCTTTTTTGTACAGCCGCCCCGCGTCTGCCTTTTCTATCCTTTACGAAAGTAAAGCGAGAGATGAAAAGATATAAAAGAAAATCTGAATATAAAGTCATGTCGCAGCATCAATACGTCAATAGTGGAGGCCAACCGAGATACAAAAAGAATGAATGGTATTTAAGTGCGTGCACAGGGGGCCATCGTGTCGTCAAGGTCACAGTTTCCCAGCAGAGGAACCGGCTCGGCCTGACGGGCCGGCTGCTTCCTTTGTGTTGTTTTCTCCTTTTTTTTTCTTTTTTTTTTACTCTGGCTTCAATGCAAATTGCTGCATCGGCGGTTTCGTCGACGGGTATTTGTTTGCATCTTGTCGGGCCAGTTTCCCCACAGCGTCTCTTCCCCCTCAGCTGCCGTGTGAGGGCTCGCACACCGGCCCCTCCTGCAGCCCGGAGCTGTGCTCGTTTTCGGGAGTCGCTCCTCCCCCCCCCGGTGGCTTCAGGGGGAGTGATTGAACCAGGAGGGCAGCAGCCTCCTCAGCAGCTTCCCGGGGTGAAGGGCGTGCTGCGCGGTGCTCTGCTGTTCAGGGGGCGGGGGTCTACTGCTCCTGCTCCTCCTCCTCCGCCTCCGGCCCGAGGAGCGGTGGGGCTGGTCTTCAGCGTGCTGGTTGGTGCTCGAACTCGCGCCCGGAGTCACTGACCTGCTGGGGGGGAGAGAGAGAGGACGCACAACTTAGAATTTCACATTTGCTGTATTTCCTCACAATGACTAATTGTTCCGAGGCGGAGGTGTGGCGCTCTCACCGGGCGGAGGCTCCTCCGCTGAGCCAGTTCAGCAGACACTGATAAACGAGCAGGTACTGCTCCTGAGGACACACAAAGGCACCAGTGAGTCGGGCTGGAGAGCACACGCTTCTAATGAAGTATGGAGATGATTCGCTGTGCATGAAGATGCAGGCAACACCTCCGGCCTTTTGAAGGCCACGCCCCCAAAGTTCATGGGGGGGGGGGGGAGGAAATTGCAATTTTTCCATTTGATAAAAGGGTTTTTCAGAAAATGAACTCTGTTGGGGGGAAAAAAAACAACCTTTTTATGATATTTTACGAATGATGACTTTTATGTTTAGTTAAAAGCAAAAGGCCAACGGGGGCTGTGAGGGCGGACGTCTCCGAGTGATGACATGTGCTCTCATTTAGCGGCTTGTTAGCAACTTTCTGTTCACCAGACGGGTGTTCAGGGACTTATTTCATATCGCAGAACAAAATATTGAATCCCTCGAGCTTGTGACTATTTCAGCCGTCTAAACAAAAGTATAAAAAGAACTCGCTCGCTCAGCACCCTGAAGAGTCCATTTCACTGGATGTTAAGGAAATTCTATATTTGAAACAAACATGTATATGTAGATAATTTACTAAATGTGTTTCTACTTCATACTTGCTCGTTACGCGACAGTTTCCTAATGATGAGCACATGAGCTTTATAGGTTGTTGTACATTAATGTATTTTGTGGAACACGTTTTTTTTTTCGCCAAGATGCATTAGTGATATATAGTAGTAGAATATAAAATGATCTCTCGTTTGAGTACATTTGATACCTTAATTAATACCAAGAAGTTTGCTAGTAAAGAAGAGAACTTAATAATTGCTACTTGAAGGACCGCCGTGCTTCTTCCATCACCCCAGGAGAGTCCCACCACTGGACTGACCAGGTTCTGCACCATCCACATCCGATGGAGCCGTAGATCCTGCACGGCGGCCCGGACGTTGGGCGGGATGCCCCTGGCACACAGCTGCATCAGCCACAACAGCGCCACGAACGTCCCTGAGCGCCCCACGCCTGCACTGAAGCACACAAACAAGACGCCGTCCGGTCGTTGAACTTCACCATGGTGGTGGGGGGGGGAAAGGGTGACTGGCTGGAGGTCAGAGGTCACACCTGCAGTGCACCACGGCCGGCCCCAGGGGAGGGGTCGCTTCCAGCTCCAGCCGCACTTGCTCGGCGAAGGCGACGAGCGAGGGCAGGTCTTTGGGGACGCCCTGGTCCGGCCAGGTCGGGTAGTAGTAGTGTGTGACGGTCCGGTCTGTTGGATGATCTCTCTGAAACACGAACCACGTTTCTAAACCGTTACTCTGTGGTCAACAAGCAGTTCAAAGGTACCAAATGGGATGTTGCTTTTGCTCACCTGTCTGAGGTTAATGGTGGTGATGAAATAATCCGGACCTTGTTTGCGGGTCACTGTGGTCACTTGGATCAGCCCGTGATGGACCGTCCCGCGGTCCAGAGGCCAATACTTCTCACACATCACCTGTACGAGCGTATTAAACCGTTGTGTTTCTACAAAGACGTCCTATGAGGCCATTAGGGGTGTTAAGGTTACATGTCAGACCTGGTCCTTTTGTCTCAGCGCCGTCACCATGACGATTATCCTGACGTTCTGCTCCCACACCATCCTCCAGAAGTCAGCCACGGTGTTGTGCAGGGGTCCCTGCGTGCAGATGAAGTCCCTCTCCGACCCGCCGCCCTGAGTAAGGACATCGAGGCGTTAGCGCCGCGGGAGGACGGACCGTCAGGAAGGACCGACCGGGAACCAGCTCTCACCGGCACGAAGTTTGCGTTGATGTAGTCGGAGTTGGGTTGGGAGCCCTGAAGCGACAGCCTCACGCGACAGTGGTCATCTGCAGCCGGATGGAAAAGCAAAATGAAATTGGTCTCGTTTCATACTTTCTGTACTCCGCTCCGGTGTGATTCGGTTCGGCACCTACATGGTAAGATGTAGGGGTATCTGTTCTTCTCTCTGTTGGGCCCCGAGTCGCCCGCTCTGGCAGGGAGGTCTTTGCCGACGACCTCGAGCTCCTTCACGGAAAGAAATCAACACGCATTGATCCTCCGAATTAGACGTGAGATCCAAGTTCAAACGAATGGAAAAGAAGGTACCTCGAACTCCTGCTTGAGGCCTCTGTTGTTGTTGGCTGAGAGCGTTTGGCATCGCAGACGGAACTCCTGCAAGATCTGTGCTCTGGAGAAGGTCTGCACCCTGCGTGGCACCACCGCCACGTTGCATCAAACCATTTTTAACCCAACATATGCACTCAGATATCCTAGTTTAAGCCTAGAGGGTTTTTTGTTGTTGTTCTTCTTCTTCAAAAGACCAAAACCAACAGTAATCTGATCCACATAAGTTCCCCATGTGGTCACGGGCACTCTGAGTATTCGAGTTTATCCGGCTTCCGCCAGCCTGCTGTCGGAAAACACAAGCCGAAACAGAAGCTTCTGCAGACGAAAATCGTCTCCAGAAGATTTGCGCTCAGGTTTGAGGAAAGGATGTACCCTCTGATATTAATGGAAGTAAAACATTTCGGTGTTTTATTTGTGCCACACGGCTCAAAGTGACGCGGTCTAATAAAAACTCAAAGTGACTTCATCTGTTGTTCAGCAGAGAGCAGCTTCGGGGATCTAGTCTTAACTCGTTGGTATGAACGAGGTGGACGAATTAACAAACGCCTGTCAGAATGTTGCATTCCAACAGCAGCACAAACGACTACAGCTGCCAAAAACACCACTTCTCCTCAAACCATGTCATCAATAACCGAACGTTCTAGCAGGATCTTTGTGTGTTATGACTGTCATCTTGGGTGACGTGAAGGGCTGAGCACCGCAGACAGGGTGGGGAAGTTAGAAGATATCGAAATTGTTGGTTTTGTTCTTTTGGGGATTTGTTGGCATTAAGAAGCCGTGTTCTGAGGATTCGTTGAAGTTGGTCCTTACCTCATGTTTTTTCTTGCGGCCGACGGTTCCAGGATGTTTGTGTCGACGCTGTGAAAGAAGACGTTGCGCCTGATCAACTGCTCATTGGTTTGTGAATGTCTCAGAAGGTCCTCTGAGACATTCACAAACCAATGAGCAGTTGATCAAGCGCACTGACCCCCCCCCCCCCTCACTGTTCCTGCTGAACACAAGTATGTGACACCTGAGAAAAAGCGCTTCCCTGCAGACGAGGGCAGCTGCATCCTGCGTGGCACAACAGGTAAAGAAGGAAGGCGCGTCCACATACGTCCAAAAGCAAAGATACGCCAGCTCGCCACGACAATCACTCGCACAGTTTTTTAAAGAAAACCGAGAAGAAAAAAAAACGAGTTGTGCAGCCGGAGAACAAAAGGCAGAGTTTCTGTGAGACTGGAAGCGTTTACCTTAACGGCCTGAAGAGAGACCACGCCGCTCCGGGGTTCACGTGACGGCAGTCTGGTTTCAATAACCATCTCGCTCAGGGGAGGAGGAAGTGAGATGGGTGGAGACGGCGGGTGGAGGGAGGAACACTACACCTGTGGGAGGGATGTCGCTGTGTTGTGTTCAAGCTCGCCGCCTCGCGAGGTCGAGTTATGGGGAGTTACTGAAGTCACGGGAGACTTTTTTTTTGAATGGATTGTCTTGTTTTGAGTTTTTTACAACACTGGATATTTGTGTGTAGTATTTATGTTCACAAACTGACAGACTGGTCTTCATGAAACATAAATCTCAACTCATTTGTTAATTCTATTTGGCACAAAAGCTCTTCATGAAATACTTCATTTGTCAGGTATTTAATTCACGCAGGAGCAAAAACGAGCCTTATTTTCTAAACTACCAGAAAAGGTATTATGATATTTGTATTTACCTATCGAAATGACCCATATTGTGACACGGTTGCGGCCACGTTGCCACAGGTCAGTTATGCCTTTGAAACATCTATAACCATCACTGCTGACATGTTGCATCAGTCTGTTGTCATACACACAAATATGTTACAGTGACACAAAGATTTGACTAAATATTAATTTACCGGGGGTGAATAAACATCTGTGTCGGTCACCTCGCGATGACAGTCAGCATCTCACTGATCCACGTGAGCACCAGAATGTTTGTGGTGCAACATTTATTACAGCACATTAAGCACGTTTGTCACAGTAAGTCTTTGACAAAGCAAACATGGAGTTTATTTGGTTCACCAACTGTTGTCGGGCGAAATCGAGTGACAATAGTTCAGTTTCTCGGGGGGCAGAAAGGATGAAGCTTGACTGTTTGGTGTATGAGGCATTATAATTAAAACTATAACTGTATATATTTGGGGGGTGAAACGCTTGTTTTTGGTTTCACAGTTTGGACTTGGAGGAACGGAGACCTTCTTAGGAAAGGTTGTTCCCGTTAGAGCTCACCTGCCTGTAGAACAGGTGAGACCACAGAGAAGCGTTCTCACCTGCCTGTAGAACAGGTGAGACCAGGTGCGTTCTCCTTCTGGGAAGAAGTCCGCGCGTGCTCAGAAAGAGACGGTTTTTTATTTTTTTATAAGCCTCCGTGACAGCAGTCTGAACCTGATTGGCTGGCTGGAGAAAAGGGAAGTAAAAAAAAAAACTAAAAACACGTTGCGTTGTTATCCGGCAGGAAACCAGAGAAAAGACTTCAACCGGAATGTGACATTTTCATTGTAAAAGTCATCGGCACGCGGAGACGTAACAAACTAAATGTGAATATTTAACCGCCGCCCGTGCGACGTGCGCGTGAGATTCGATCGCTTCCTGCTTTCCAGCTTCTTCGTCTCTCGGGAGAGAAATTAAAAAAAAAAAAAAAAAAGCTCGGATCAGACCAACGCGCGGAGATGGATCACGCGCGACCGCAGGACACGCAGCAGAACAAGGTACGGACACTGAAGGACACGAAAACACCGCTTCCGAGAGGCGACGCGCGCACGCGACGCGTCACGTCGCACTTTGACCCGATAGATCCACTTCAGCACAAAGTCATTTAAAACCGCAACCAGAAGTAGAACCACCGCAGCTGTGTCCCAGTTCGACGGCCGCGTTCCTACGAGGACCCTGCTGCGTGTCCCTACGAGGACCCGGCCCTCGCGGTCTACATAGGCCACGTCCCTACGAGGACCCGGCCGTCGCGGTCTACATGGGCCGCGTCCCTACGAGGACCCGGCCGTCGCGGTCTACATAGGCCACGTCCCTACGAGGGCCCGGCCCTCGCGGTCTACATAGGCCGCGTCCTTCGAAGGCCGCGGTCTGTCTCTGCCGCTCCCGTTGCTAAGCAACCTCCTCCCGTATAAGCCTTAAAACCTTTTAATTTAATTTAGGAGTATTATTACAGGTTGAGAGAAGAACATTTTCCACTCAATATGAATTTACTTATGAAAATCGGTTGAGCATGTAGCTACTTTTAGCTAAAAGTAATATCGCAATCTTAATATTAAGGACATCAATCAATACAGTCAATAAAAACAACAACAGCAGCAAACACATTTATTTACTTGTACGTACTTTTTACTACACAAACATCCAACTTTTATTCATTTATTTTCTACATACAAGCAGGTATAATATTTAGAGTTATTGTCATTACTGATTTAGAAAGTGATGTTTCAGATTAATTAAACACTAAAAATAGACTAATGTCTTAGAGTATTTGTTTATTGGTGAAGCTGAGCTCTGTCATTTATTTTCTGTGTGTGCTACAATTCTTACCTTTTTTGATACTGATATATATAAATATATATTTAAATCGGTATAGATTGTATATCTTTACGAAATAAAGATTATTCAACCAATCATTGATCAAAGTAGCCGCCGGCCCTTTCTCTAATCCCCCGATTGTTGCAGCTTCCTTTTCGAACCTACGCTGCCTGTACCACGGTAACCGCGGTAACCATGGTGATCACCGTGCTGCTCTGCTCCCCCAGGGCTCCATGCTGCGGCACCGGGAACACGCCGCCGACGAGAGGCCCGCCGACGGCTCGCCGCGTCCCGCCGTGGGTGCACCTCCTGTGGCGTGTCACATCTCCTAATGAACAGTTTGTTTGCACTCTCATGTTCAAACCGTGACCCCCTCACCCCCCCCCCCCTCCCTCCCTCCCTCCCTTGTGGATGCAGGACTCGAAGAGGCTGATCAGGAGAGTGCGAAGTCCATCCAGGCCGAGGGCGCGGCTGGACAATTCCTACAAGGCGAAGTTCGGAGGGCGTTTCCACGGACCTCAGTGAGAACGGCGACTGGAGAGCGCGCTGGGGGGCAGATGGGGGGCGGGGGGATTGTTGTCTTTTCGTACCTTACCAATACCGATGGCGGCGTGACCTTTTTTTTTTGTTTGTTTTTTTCCCTCCCTCCTTTCGAATGCCGCAAATCCCCGAGGGAAGACCACTCGTTCTACAAACCCGGCTCCTCCAACCAGAGGTACCACCCCTTCGACCCCCGGGCCGACTTCCACCGGAGGGACCACTTCCAGCACAAACCCCCCCACGCGGCGCCGAGCGAGAGGGAGCGCTACGAAAAGAGAGAGAGCGCCGATGGGAGTTCACCGTCCAAACAGAACAACGGTGAGATCAAGTCTGTGAAAACGTCAGTGACCGGAGGAGGAATTATTGTAGTTAAAGATGAATTAATTCCATTCATATTATTCCTAAAACATCAAATCTGCTTAAATGGCTTGAAGAAAAGTAAATACAGACTTTGGTTCCTGACGATCAAAGTATTTCATTTACCCCCAAAAAGTTTACTACTCTCTTTATTTTGACAAAACGAGGCTGTTTCTACTATTTAAGCTAAGCTAGCCTTCATTTTCATATTAGCACAACAGAGTGTTCCACATGGTGTGTGAATCTGTTTATTTACAGCTCTACCATGCAAAGCGCTAAATATATCCTGAATGTGTAAAAGCCTGAACGGAAGAACCCACTCAGCCGCTTTCACACACACACACACACACACACACACACACACACACACACACACACGCACACACACACACACACACACACACACACACACACAGTGTGGTTAGTGGTGGTAAGACTCAGAGCCCCCACACGCCGCGCGTCCACATCAAAGTGATTCCCTCCCCCCTCGGCTTCACCGCCGTGCACTTTATCACATGACCACCGGGTGGCAGCACCGGCCAGCAGACGCACACGCGTGCGCATTTTCACGCACGCTCTGCATCCGGCGTGTTCGTGAAGGTGGTCGCCCTCTTGGCTGCCCACTGAGACCCAGTGGAGGGATCATGTGGTGCGATGAACGCGTTAAGCGTTACGCGTCCGTCCTCAGACTCCTCACACAGCTGGCGAATGACCTCCATCATTCGCCAGTGGGAGTCTGGAAGTAAACAGCGAGGGCCGATTAACATTTTGTTACCCTCACGTTTCCTTTGTTTCAACACAAACTGTGAATGTTGTTGTTGTTGTTGTTCAGCCGGTACGAAGCGGCCCGATGTGTTGTTCTGAACCGAGCTGTCGGCACTGTATGTTTTCATCAGCTGCCGGCGCGCACACTGCAGCACTGTGGAGGTGTGTGTGTTTGTGTGAGTGTGGAACAGGTTTTTTTTTTTTTTTGTGCGTTATGGTGCGATGATGGTGACTCATCGCCGGTTGGTGTGTGTGTGTGTGTGTATGTGACACTGAGAGAGAGAGAGAGATACTAGCCAGCAGTTTATAATGAGCCAAAACACAACTATTGCCTCGCATTCAGTCCAATATCACACGGCTAAATTCACAAATATCAGCAGGTTCTGCTGTGAGATTTACGTGTCGATTGTTGGACCCAGAGAATCACAATAAAAACATATTGTTGAGAAGAGGCTGAAGATGAAGGTGAGGGAATGACGAGACGCTTTTAACCATCGGTGGAGGTTTAAAGATCCACCCAAAGGCAGGCGATGCACAGAAACACAACCGTCTCTTCACGCAGTCCTTGTTGTGTGTTGTTTTTCTTCTGTTTTTCCAGCTACCGGGCCGTTCGTACCCAGATGCAGCTCCAGCAGAGACAAGGACGCGCCGCTCAGCGTAAGTTCAGACGTTTGGGGCTTACGAGTTTTCTCTTGAAACGAAAAGCCGTTTGGATTAAAATGCTATTTTCTGTCTTTTAAGAAAACGCAGCAAATTAGGGATTATTTTCCCTATGAATTAAGTGTATGATTAATCTCCGCTTGGGAGAAGTGCTTATATGCCAAACTGAAAATCATTTGAACCCAGAGAATGTTCCGTGTTTTTGTTTCACCAGTCATCAAAATAGCAGCAGATTATTTTCCGGATCCTTCCAGTGATTCCATGTGCAGACAGCTCAGGTGCTGCAGGGGGGAGAAAAAAAGGGGCCGAAATCCGATGAAAGCCGCATGCATTTTCTCTTCTGGCGTAATCGTGGCGAGGAGGCGCTGGACAGATGTGAGCGGCTGGATGAGGCCCCCGAAGGTCTTTTTGTCTCCTCCGTAGAAGCACCGAGAACAACTAAAAAGCACGTTAGCACGTTTGCACGTTTTGCGGCCTCCGGCTCTTTAGCTGCAGGATGCTCGAAAGCTCGGCCGTCTCTCTGCAGCCGTCCTGTCGCACCGAACGCTGATTTAATTGAACCCGAGCCGTAGAGCTTTTCATAACCCGGCCTGTGAATCATTAACCGGGGATTTAAAAAACTCAATAAATAATAAACTGACCCTTTGCGTCCCGCGGCTGTGCAGACCCCCCGGTGGCGGTTTAGTGGATTCTGGGCTCGTCCTGATTAATCGCAGTGTGACAGAGATCCTCGCTGAGGTGGAAGCAAATATACTTCATCCTCATCATCATCTCAGCAATGAGTCAATGTCCCTTTTTATAAAAACCCTTTATAAATTGTGACCCTTTTTTTTTCTGACATATTTATTCATTGAACACATGAAAGCAGAACAAATTCTGAATTCATAATTCCCTCTGAGCAGCGTTTCAAGTTGACACCTGAGGCTTCCGCTCATTCGCAGTTTTGTTGGCAAACTGTGCAAATTTCCATCTGCGGTTTCATTTTTTTTTTCTCCTCCCGTTTTTGTTCTCAGAGCGACAGGAACCAAAGCCGAGAGCGAGATCACACGGGGACCCGAAGCAAAGAGAGGGAGCGAAGCCGAGACGGGGAGCTTCCCCCGGCAACGCGAGACCGAGCCATCCAACAGAAGAGGAAAGAGATAGACGAGGTAAGGGGGGGGGGGTGGGGGGGGACGCCACATGGACACACACACCTCGGGGACCAATCAAACCGCCAATCAAAAGGGGGTTAACGGGGGGGAAAAAAAGGAAATGCTTCTTACCGGAGGCTGACAATCTTTTGAAGCGAAGCATTAACCGCCCCTCCCCCCCCCCCTTGCAGGTGTACTACCAGGAGTGTGAAATGTTCGGCCTGGTGGCGAAGATGCTGATCGCCAAGGACCCCACCCTGGAGCGCCCCATCCAGTCGGCGCTGCAGGAGAACCTGCGGGACATCGGCAAGCGCTGCGTGGAGGGCATGGAGAAGTTCATAGCGGACTACGACGCCGCGGAGGCGTCCCGCTAGCCGGGAAGTGTTTCATAATACTACTTCATGGGATTTTTCTACGCTGCTCCTTTTGATATCCGGGGTGAACCGATCTTTTTTTTGTGGGGGGGGGGGGGGGAATTTTTTTACACTCATGCGTGTAATCAACGACACACGTAACCCTCCCCCCCCCCCCCCCTTTAATCGGCCACCAGGAGCCGCGAACTGTAACGCGGCCGAGCTCCTCGGGCAGGTCGGGTTAATTAACGTTCTGATTAACAGCAGATGGGTGAAATACTACTTAATTCATGAGAAAATGATTCCTTGCGTTCTGCAAAATGTGAACGCGGCCGTCCGGCTGCCAGCTGGGAGCCGCTGCGCCGTCGCTCCGTACTTCTGCCGCTTGAATGTCCCACGTTGTTGCAGCGACGAGTCTCTCTCATCACGGAGCCATTTAAGAAAACACTCGTGGGCCAAACATCAACAGCCCACATTGCGTAATTAAAAAAGGCAAAATCGACTGGTAAACGGCGGAGGTGGAGTGAAATGTCCACGCGGGGGTTTTCTTAATCAGAGGGAATAATTGATTTGATTGGAACGTCGGGCGATTGGTGCGAGCGGCCCGGCCCGGTTGCCTTCATCGAGTGAATAAAGCTGTTCTACGTTGATTTCTGTGCACATGTTTGCATCTCGCGTTCGCTGCACTCGTGAAAACCACTTTTAGACTGAGATTACTAGGATTTTATACTGCTCCTGATTGTATTTAATAAAATGTGATGATATTAATGAAACACTTGACTGCTTGTTTTGCATGAAGTGCACGAATGTTGACATTCTTAAAACCTTCCCTGTGGTCTGTAAATGGACACTTTGGGCGTCACATGAATCCATGAATGTATCTGTAGGTGAGAGCTTTTTTTTTTATACTTAAGCATTTTTATTAGGGGGGCTTTTATCAAGGGTATACAATAGGTGAGAAGCTCTTAAGCTTTTAAGTCCTTTTGATGTCTGACCTAAAGCCCGACTGATACATCAGCGCCAATTACGTCTAATTATAGAAATATCGACATCGGTGTAAATGTCAGCCGACACCAGGAAACTACAGCGCAGAACGTTATTCAGGGAGCGCACACCGGACTATGTACTATATATATAAATAGATATAAACAAACAAATATATATAAATGAGAGCCACACTGCGTTTCCCGGCACAAAGCGGCTTTTTGCCACATTATCATATTAAAGGTATTTGTCGGACAGGTGAAGCCATCACTGTCCCAAGTGTCAGTTGGGAAATATTCCAGCTGAACAACCGATTAATTAAGCATAAGTAGCTCAACTGGATGTCGGGCGAGTTAAAATTCACTTGACATTTAAAATGGTAATTAGAGAACTGTAGTCCCGCCCCTTTGTGTGCAGCTGATGAAGTGTTTTTAAAAGGCGAAACACCAACAAAGAGCGAGCGTCACTCACAGGCGGACCAATCAGTGCAAAGTTCATTGAAGCACACTTTATTTTCTGTATCAGACAACAACAACAAATCAACATGCAAGTCTCCCTAACCCTACATCATGTTATACAAATAATGATCTTTAGTTACAAAATATATAAATATTTAAGACCATATGTACAGAACATTTACATTACTACATCCATCAATTTAATAAGTGTATTACTATATATACATTTAACAGGTATTATTCTCTAATGTTCTCATATTTATTATTTGCATTGTAATTATTATTGTTAGCGTTGTCATTATTATAATTCTTAATCATCTAAGGGTAACTCTGAAAAACGAAGCATGTTGCAGAAGAGAAAACGGGACCATACCTGACGTCACTGAGGCTGAATGGTGGAGGAGCAGAGGCCGGCCGGCGCCCTGGCCCCCCCCCCCCTCCCCGCTGAAGCATGGCGAGCTGGCTATGTAGAGCACGAGGTTCAACAGACTATTTGTACAAGGTGATGACGCGGCGGCACACGTGACTTTCACTCCCCCCCCGACACGCGTTCTGCTTCGTCCACATGGAATTAGGTTTTAATCGCTTTTTGCCCGCCCTTCTTCGCGCTGTGGAGCGATTGTTCAGCCTCTCTTTGTAACACGCGCGCACACGTACGTCATTTACATCCACCGCGGTATATTTAGAAGTCAAGTTCTGTCCGCGCTCCCGATCGACCACCAGAGGAGCCGACCTCCTTCACTGTAAACACCTCTGTTGTGTAAGCCAGCTGAGCTTCCTCTGGTGATTAGATCATTCTGTGTAGGTGTGCACAAACACTACCCGGTGTAGAGTTGTGTAGGCTCACAAGCACAAAAAAAAAAAAAATAGGCCTTTTCTCTCAACCCCGACACACACACACACACACACAAACACACTATGCACTCTCAACTGTCTCCCTCTCACCTCCCCTCTTTGTTCCTTACCCCTCTCTTATCTCTTTCACTCTCCCCCCTCTCACCATCACTCTTGCTCTACCTCTAAGAAATGATGCAGTTTTTGCTCTTCCTCCTTTGGCGGCCGTGCAGCTGGCCGTGCATCGGCCCGTGCATCGGCCCGTGCATCTGTCCGTGCATCTGTCCGTGCATCTGTCCGTGCATGGGCCCGTGCAGAGGTCCGTGGTGGGCAGCTATCCCGGAGGGGCTGTAGCGGTGGCGCAGCTCCTCGTTGTTGATGTAGCACAGCTGCACGGGTCGCGGGATGGGTTCGCCCAGGAAGTAACCCTCGTCTGCCTCTGACTCGGAGGAAGAGGAGCAGCTGGAGCACCAGGGGTCGGCGGCCTCCGTGTACCCGTCGCCCCAGCACGGCCCGCCGAGCCCCGCGGGTGGCCAGCCAGCGTTCTGCAGGGTGAGATCAGAAGTGGTGCGGGGGCATGGCCGCTGCGGCTGCTGCCTGTAGCCGCCCGGCTCGAGGCCGAACAGCTCGCGGGCGGCGTTCCCGGCGGGGAAGCGGTCGTAATCCTCCTGGACGCGGCGATACGGCGGCTCCAGCATCTGGGCGGGCCGGTCCGCCACCAGGTGCAAGGCGTTGTCGGAGCGGGAGCGCCGAGAGCGCTTGTGGTGGCGGCTGCTGCGGTGCTGCCCGTTGCCGTGGTTCCCGCGGTGGTGTTTGCGGCGCCTCGGCTGCGGCTGCTGCTGCGGCTGCTGCTGCTGTTGCTGCGAGGCCGCGGGTTCCTGCCCGTTGATGCGCCGGCGGGGCATCCTGTCGCTCATGGGGGCCATCCGCAGGTTTCCACTGCTGCCCATCACCCCGACGCGGCCTTTGTCGTCGAAGCCCAGCGGCTGCGGGCCGTCCCAGTACTGCAGCGGGTACCCGACTCTCAGCGGAGCGTATACGTTGTTGTTATAGGGGCGAGAGGAGGACAGCGACTCGGTGCTGTGGAACTGGACCGAGGAGCTCAGGGTGCCCATGTTGCTCTTTTCGGACACATTCACACCGGAGTCTTTACTGAGGTCGGGCATGGAGAACCTGGACAGATGCTCCTGGCGCTTACTGACCCCGTCCAGGGAGTTACCTGCTGAAATAAGAAGTCACAGGTCAATTTACTTATACCTTTTGGCAATATACGTCATTGTGCCGTACTAGGGCAGCCAACAATTGGTCATTTTTTTTTAACTCAATTAGTCCTACCGTTATTTTAATGCTTATATCCAAGAATTGTTTGTGTCTCTGGCGACGGCAATATGAAGTGTGGGTAAACTTTCAAATCTTATCGATAAGTGATCAAATGAGTGTCACCTAAGAGGACCACGCTGTGTCCCTGACACGACTGTACCTGTGGCGTTGGACATGATGAGGGAATCCGTGGATCCCCGAGGCGTCTGTTCCAGAGGGGCGAGGGGCTCGTTGAAGCTCATGGCATTGACGGGGTTCCTCCGGGTCAGCGGGGGTCTGCCATCTCTCTGGAAGCCGTGCAGGCTGATGCTCCTCTTGTCGGAGAAGCCCTGGTTCTGGCTCGACATCTCGTTGAAGCTCATCTGGGTGCGCAGCTTGTTGGGCCTGAACTCATCCTGGCTGTGGTGGGTCCAGTTCTCATTAAAGGAGTGGCCCCTCAGAGCCGCCATGGGGGTCCTCTTGGCGTTGCCTGGTTCCTTCCCCCACGAGTCAGGCCTCTTCCCCGGGTTGGCGGCGGTCTGAGCTGACGGATGGCCGTTTGCGTTGGGGTTGTAGCCCTGCCTGGGGTTACACTGTGCCAGCATATGGATAGGCGCAGGTGTGGGGGAGGGTTCCCGCTGGGGGCCCTCGTAGGCGCCGGGGACGTAGGGGTCGTCGCGGCTCATCCACACCTGGTTAAGGCTCGGGGCGCGGCTCGGCGTGCGACTGGGCGTGCGGTTGGGCGTCCTGCTCGGGGTCTGGCTGGACGAGAGGCTCAAGCGGTCCATCTGGACGGAGAGCGGATCGATCTCAGCCGACAGACGGTCGGGCATGGGCGGAGGAGCCGCCTGCCGGGCCTCGGCGTTCCTGCGCTCCTTTTTGCCAATCTTAGTGCTGTGGCGGGATTCGCGGGAACGGGCGCTTTGGAAGGCGGAGTCTGAGGAGTCGGACTCGTCTGGATCCTGGTTGGTTAAGATTAGACCAAGAGTTAAGTACAATGATCAAACTCCTAATATGTACCGTAATAGTAAAGTCAATACATTCAATGATCCTGTTTTTGGTTACACACCTGTCCAGCGCTGCAGGACCGCGAGCAGAAGATCTGCCCCTGTTTGGGCAGGAAGGGGCGGCCCAGCAGGGAGCGCTTGCACCGGGCGCAGCAGAAACACTCCTCGGTGGCGTGCCAGTGCTGCCCGTCATACGTCATCTGGCCTTGGTCGATGCCTTTAGAGGGATGGAAACGTTGTATTTCTCAGCATTGCGATAACAGAAGCGAGTTCAGCAGTTAATGCAGTCTGGCGTTAACTGTTTGAAAATGGTAATGCGATGGCAGCTATCTCTAATATTGCTGTAAAAATATTATTCTATAAAGTCTCTATAAATGCTAATGAGCACAGAATAATCACTTACTTTCTAATGGATCATTTCAACCATTAGAAAGTAAGTGCAGCTCATTGAATTCCTCTTCTGCTGCTTAAAGAAAGCATTTGCGATTCTTTCCCGTTTATAAGACGGACCGAATGCATTCCACCAGCCCCGCTCCCCAGCTAGGGGAAGTAATCATCTTTCACAGCTCCCATCTGGATTCAACATGGGAGCATCCTCTGAAACACACTTTCACTGTTACTGGAGCTTGGGATGATAATAACCATCCACGTCTCACTGCAGTTGCTCCGCCTCTCCGCAGCTGTGGCTCACACAGCTGATAAATGGCAATAAATGCTCGATGGAAGTTTTCCATGATGAGTCCATGTGTTTTGCCAACAGTCCATGCAGGGATTCAACGTATAGTACCTATGTGTTCTCCGCACGCGTCGCAGTACTCTGCATAAAGGGACTCGAAGCAGTTGCAGCAGTGGGGCCGTCCGTCCTTCATGATGTAGCGCTGGCCGCCGAGGGCGGCCTCGCACTCGTAGCAGCAGAAGTGCTTCATGTGCCAGTGCCTGCCCTCCGCCTCGGTGCATTCATCAGCAAAGATTATCTGCGTGGCCAAAACATGTCATTCATCAGCAAAGACATTCAACACGGAGATTAGTGGTAGATCTATTACAAAGATGAGCTTTAACGATGCTGAGGAAGCAAACGCAAACCGGCTGGATGGTGCTTGGCGTCCCTCAGGGCGCCATCCTCGGCCCGTTATTATTTTCACAATATCTTTCATGTTTCGCACCTTATAACAAAGGTCTTTGCTATTTCACCCTGTGACCCCTCAAACCAACTGGTCCAACGCGTTCTCAGCCCTAAATCGTCACATATTGTCTCTTGCTGTTACTTTTCCAACCAACTGTGTAGTCTAGCGAGTAAAACTAGGATGCTTCACTACTGTTGATTAAACAGTAAATTCAAAAAACATGTTTTGACTTGAATAGGTACGTAAAACAGTTTAAATGTAAACAAAGTAACATATGGTAATACATAACTTCAGAATAACTCAACACTTTGTGGCCTGAACACCAGCCACTGAGACAAAGCTTGTTTTTTAAACACTCTGTGGATGAGAACGGCCTGAATGTGACACATATTAGGGGGTTGTCTGTTTTCTACGAAATAATTGTTCCCCTTTCACTGAGATCTACATCTTTTATGACATTTAAACTAGACGCTGTTCATTTTCAAGCTTCCATTAATTCCAAAATAGACTTACCAACATCTGGCATCAATCTTGGTGTCACATGAGATAAACAGGGGTGTCAGACTGTTTCTGAATGAAGGAATATCTAACAATTTCAGTTAAATAAACCCCCCACAAACACACTTTCTTTGAGTAAACAAACCACGGCAGACTGTAATTAGCACCGTGGCCAGAGTGATTATCATTATTATTATTGTGTTTATCGTTTCAGGCCGGCTTCCCTCACATCACGGTGAGTGAGCACAAGTAGACTTTCCAAGAATACTAAAACATCTTTTCTCTCCAGAAGTTCTAGGGCTCGAGGCCCAGGCGGACGCACCTCATCGCAGGCGCAGCAGCGGGGCTTCATCCTCTCGGCGTGGTGTCGGCCACACAGGATCTTGCCGTCCTGGTAGAAGTAGATGAGATCCACCAGAAGCTCCTCACACATGCTGCAGACGAAGCAGTGAGGGTGCCAGCATTTACTGTGACCCGCCCTCGCAGCGAAAACCACCATGTCCCCTCCGTTTATTTGACCGCCGCACTGCGGGAGAGGAGATGTGAAGGAAGGAAGGAAGGAAGGAAGGAAGGAAGGAGAGGAGTGAGGGAAGGAAAGGAAATTAGATGAGAGGAAAGGGAAAGAACAAAAGGAAAGAAGGGGAGAGGAAAAGGGGGAAATTAGATGGGAGGAGAAAGGAGGAAAGGAGACGAAAGGAGCATAAAGGAAAGGAAAAGAGTAGGATAAAGTAGCGTTGGCATAAGAGGAAGAGAAGAAGTGGAATACAAACTAAGATGTGGAAAGGGAGGGTGAGAAGATGGTAACGGAATTTGAAATCTTTTCAAAATTTGAATGTTTTCTTTCTTTTCTCCTTTCTCCGTTCATCTGATGGAACAGCAAACAGAAGAACGGGCGAACCACAACCGAGAACACTACACTGCGCAGATAAAAATAGCATGTGCAACATCTTGAGACCGTTTTGTTGTCCTTTGATATCTTCAATGAGGGAAACGGAGGGCGAGCGCGGGGGAGGGAGCCGCTGCCGGCGCGTACCTTGTCGCAGATGGCCCCGTTCATGGTGGGGGGGAACGGACGGATGTTTCCTCGGCCCAGGTTGTCCTTCTTCCGTTGGTTGCTGAAGAGCTTGAGCTCCCGTTTCTCCTCCTCGTCCAAGCCGTTGCAGTAGCGCACCTGAGCGACACGGTTCACCGTCAGGCAGCGCCGTTAAAACCGCCGTGCTTTCTGAACGTCGTGGCGAAAAAAACGAAATGATCTGTTCTGTTGCAAATTGATTTTTACCTCGTTGTCATGTGGTGGCAGCTGGTGTAGAAGTTGTTTGATGCGGTACTTCTCTCCGGGGCTGTTTATATAAGGGACCTTCTCCTCCGGTAAGGAGTTGTAATACTGATGCACCTGAAACAAACACCAACAAACCAGCAGACAGTTGATGTACAGTTGTTAGCAACATGTTATCACTTCCACAGCTGGAAAATACTTGTTTGGAAAGTTGTAGATGTTGAGGAGGACCTGCTGAGAAGAAGATTGTTGGATCAGGATGTGAAATACTTGTCTTAGTGCGTAGTCGTGTTCTTTAGGAGGTTTTGGGGAAATCTTTTCTGCAGAATTCACGATATAGGCACAAGGTGACCTTCGAGTAACTTAAAGAGTAAAAAGGCAGCGTTTGGTTTTTCCATTGAAGGCTGCATCGCGAAGATGGTGGGAAGGCTTCCTTCTAAGCTAACGAGAAGACCTCAAGGTTTAAGGTTGTTTATGAATATTATATTTAATTACTGGCAATGAGTTCAAAAGGTGACCAAAACAATCCATCATTGACATATTGATTACAGCCATTTAAGGGCCGGTTTACGTTCATTTCATTAACGTCTTCTGACAAACCTAATTGAATCCCATGTGGCTTTCAGATGGATTCATCAAGGTTTGAACGTGGATGAAATCAGTTTTGGGCTTTTCTCTGTTACAACCCGGCCCTTTGAAACTGGTTTGTGGGATACAAAGTGTGACACAATGAGGTCTCCGCTGCCACTGCTGCAGACACAACCTTGACCGGCTGATGTTCACGCTGCTCTAATGGAATCTCCCCGCTGGTGTTATTCGCTATGCGGTGGCACTCGGTACGTTCGGCCTGAACCTCCTTTTGTATTTGCATGTAAGAGGGCTGAAGCATAGAAAACCTTGATTGGTGTTTTAGGAGTAAACACTTAAAAAAAACGAAAAGCAATCTTGTCGCTCGTCTCTGGTTTTCTGCAAAACAGCCGTTGACGCAAAAAGTTCTGCCGCTCAGCGCAGCGAAAAGATCTATTTTGCTGACGGTTGTTGTGATCCAATTTGCATAATCAGTGGGGCAGAGAGCGAGGGGGGGGGAGGGAGAGCGCCTGTGCGCCCCTCAGACTCCAGTTTTCATCGGCATGAAGAAGCAGCTCGTCGGGGAGGTAAAAAGAGGAGTGCGAGGATTCAGTTTAAGGAGAAAAGGCAAAAAGAGCCGATGTGCTAGCAGGACATATTTGAAGGTGAGAACGTGGTTTTGAGGGAATGAACACAGGAACGTTCATACCCAATAACACCGGACAGAGTTATTTCTTGTGTCCGAACTGACGAAAACCAACGGACGTGGACTCGGGAAGAAACCGATGGGGGGAATATTTTTCGTCTGGACGTGCACGAACTGATTGCATTAGCTCGGTCACGCATGCAATTAAAAGGCATTTAAACTGCAAATGAGTCCTGACAGGGAATTGTGAAACCTGAAAGCATAAACATATTACCACAAATATCCAATTAGATTCATCGAAACACTCAGTGAGTCAAATGACTTCTATTCCTTTGGGTTTGGATTTGCCAGGATACACTACAACACAGGACAAATTGAGGCTTCAATTCAATAAATGGAAAAGATATTATGTGCCAACAGGTATAAAAGGAGCATTTTTCCCTCACATTTATAGGAGATGTTATAATCATCGGCTTGATGGTGATCGGGGGAAATTGCATGTTTGAATACATTACTTCACATTCCGATAACAGAGAATCCGAGACAGCATTTGATTATCTGATCTGTTCCTCAGATCAGCGAATCCGTCTGTGGTTTCTCTTCCTGATGCCGGTCATGGTTGTCATTCTGTTGGCCTGTGAACTTGCTTCCTACACACTGTCAGCTTTAACACTGACAGCTGAAAAATGTCCTTACAGTTTTTCTTCCCAGAAGCGCCTGACAGTCGCATGGATTTGTTTGCCAACCCCCTCCCGACCCCCCCCGGCCCCCTGGCTCCCGTCAGATTGAAGAGACTGAAGCACCATAAAGGGGTTTTATGGCGCGTTTCCACCGAGCGGTACGGTGCGGTACGGGTCAGGTCGGTACCCTTTTATTTATGTCTCCACTGTCAAAAGTTGAGTATGGTACCAAAAATCTGAACCGTACTGTTCCACTTCTTGGGTACCCTTCCGTTGGGGCACCTGGCACAGTTGTTTGGTACTAAAGGGCGGAGCTAGACTCACTGCAGAACGTTGATTGGTTGAAAGAGTGTCGTCATTTGCGCGTGCCGCAAGGGGCCCGTACCGCACCGCTCGGTGGAAACACGCCTTTAGAGAACATGAGTGGTACATTGTCCTGCTTTCAGATCAGTGGGACTTCGGGGTTACAGGCCTGATAATGAAATGCTTCTGACTGATCGGGTCACTTTGATTGGTTCAAATGATTAACAGAAAGAAGCACAGGTTAGAGAAGCACTTAAGGTTAGAGAGAAATAAATAAAGCTTTGCGTTTCATATCTTCATACACGTACGTGGTCACGAGCATCAGTATTGTACTTTGGGATACTTGTAGCTTCATTAATGACCAGCTAACATGCCATGCTAAATGCTAGCGACCTTGCGAGGGCTGTGCGAGGACCGTACATCATTCCCTGAGTACCGGCAAGAGGAGACGAGCAAGCAGATTGTGAATCAGGCCCCATCAGACAGGTGAGTAGCCTTCAACGAGGCATGACTGATCTCTGTTGCCTAGCGACGCAGTGGCGCGTGCGGCGCAAGCCTCCACTTTCCTGCAGTATTTCATGTTACGTTCTCTGGAAGATATTCAGAGCATTTGAAAAAAAAAGCTGCAGACGACCGTTATGCAAAGCCTCAGCGCGAGGTCCGTGCGTGTCGCTGTGCGTTCCCTGTACCTCGTCGACCGGGCCTTTTAGTGCACGCTGAAGGACACGTGAGCGCGCGTGTGAGCGCTGACCGCTGCCGCTCTGCACTCATTTGCCGCCCCCACTGTTGCCTTTTGCACTGTTGGCTCAGTTAGCACCGTTAGCACAGTTGGCGGCTCAGTTCATGCCACGTTGGAGGCAACATGTGGGCTTCGAACCTTTTACACTCACCACATAGTTTACATTTTTAAGTACAATTCAACCACCCGACTTTCACTCGTGTACAACATTCCAGCAGTCTCTCCACCTGCGGGGCGAGTCAAGTACGAGGGAGAGGGCGGACTGTGGCGCCGGCGTACCTGCTCGGGACTAAGGCCGGGGGGGACCCAGGCGTACTCCTCCAGTGCACATCCGGAGTCATCATCGGAGGTGGAGTTCCTCTGGAAGTCATACATCAGCTTGGTGATGGTCTTCTCCATCTCCAGAGACATGGCTGTCACAACATTCTCCTCCAAACGGAGCGCTTCGGTGGGCACGGGGATTCCTGTGGAGGAAGCAGACCGGAGGGTGAGGCGGAGAGGAAGATGGGAGTGAAAAGGGAGAGAGCGCAGGCTGAGCAGTGGGGAGGAGTGGAGTCTCATTATTATTCCGCTTGGTATTCCGGGCTATATGCGGAACCTGCAGATGTAGATCTGCTAGTGGTAAACACCAGGTGCACCTGGACTGTGGAAAAAAAAAACCCGAATCATACATTTCTGTTTTTTATATCCACTGGAAAAGGACATCAAAGGTCCAGATGTTCATGTAAAATGCATTTAAGGTACATCAAACAGCCAAACTAGCGGCTTGATGTTTTGAGCTGAATGCTAATGTCGGCATAGCAACATGTGTTTGGTCACAATACGTTTTAGACACATTTAAATGTTGGCCCGATGAAGGAGGTGCACGGAATATGAAGGGATCTGCATGGTTGTTGTAATTCATCCTGAGCTGATCATGAAAGTCTGAACCGAGCTGCGTGAACATTTCCCACAAAACCTGCTGGTGTGGAGATGAAAGTCAGGAGGTCAGTCATTAAGGTTCATCCTCTGGGAACCATGAATATCTGTATTGAATTGTAGGCACAATAAAATGGATGAGTTACGTTTTTTGTGGATTCATCCTTTGGGAGCTGTGAATATTTGTAGAAAATCTCACTACAATCCTTCCAATATTGAGAAAGACTTATGGTGCCAGCAGGCGGCGCTCTCTCTGCATTCACCGCTTTGCTCGAACGAATAGATAAGAGATCAATTCAGGCTTCTCCTCCTCCTCCTCATTTCTGCCTGGAGAACAGCTGCACAGATTAATGACACATGAATAATTAACGGGAGGAGGTATCGCCCCAATCGCCCAAATATGAAAATGAAATGCGTCTCGTTTTCACAGGCGACCAGAAAACTTAGTGAGGCATCGACAATGAGTCCTGTTTACGTCCCGTGGCTTGTTATTCTGAACGCTGATGAACACAGAGATATTACAGTCAATTAGTGTAAAGTGGAAGGAAACACTTTGTCAGAACCTGGGATTCATTTACATTAAACCATCGTGATCATTGAACGTTTATTGTAATGTAATAGGAAGTGGAGGAATGTGCTGATACCACCACAGAACACTGGGACTCCTTTTCTCTCCGTGTCCGCGGGTCACGTGTGAAGGTCACAGCTGTTACCTGACAAAAAAGACAACGGGGCCCCGAGGCGTCCGATTCAAAGCGATTCCACAACACGGCTTGTTTGCGACGGTTTCCCACGGCGACGGCATTTTCTCACCGATTCGACCGGAGAGAACGCGGCCCGAGCAGACATTTCTTGGACTCAGTCGGCCTCCATCCGAGCTGAGTGCTGTTATGCTGTTAATCCCCCTCGTGGGGGGATGACAGGAACGTGACCTTGAGCCTCCAGGCGCCCGCGGCGGTTATTCATTGGTGCACGGAGGCTCATTGAGAGCCGGAAGCGGCAACTAGACAGCTGAAATATTTTGTTTTTTTCAGTATAAAAAACTTTATCTAAACTCTGAATTGATACCACATTTTACCGTATTATTATACTTATTTTGTTTTCAGAACATAGTGAAGCTAGCGTTAGTTAGCGTTAGCTAGTGTTTTATTTGCATCATACAGAATTTTCCACAAAAGTCAGTGTAAGCTGTTAAAAATAATTTTCCTTTTACTGTCTTTTTACTTTGATGCTGTTGTCTGTTTTTGCATAAAACACGCAGTTTAAAATGTATTAGTAATAAACATAAAAGATGACGTATTTAGTGGAGTTCCCTCCTGCATCCAGTGTTTGTGCTAAGCTAGGCTAGGCTAAGCTAAACACATCTCGGAGCCGTTTTTGACCAAAATGATGATCTCATTCGGCGCCTACAAGTAAGAAAAAGTGGATTTCCCACAACGGCACAATACATCTTTGGATTTCAGTTTGCTATGTGAAGGTTTTTTCGGCCAAAACCTTTGTAATAAGCCCTTTTCACGGCAGACATTTTGACATGTCACAGCGGGAACACCGCAGTGATGGCTGGTGCCGTGGAACTGTGCATGCTGACTCTGTGACACGGCGTGATGGGGAAGTGAAAATGAAACAGAGTCGTGATTGATGGCACGAGTTATACCTGCGCTTCGTCCAGGCGGGAACCTTCAGTCCCGAAAAGCAGAACGGCGACAGCCCAAAACCAACACGGGGGGACAAACGTGCCGACGGACGAAAACACGGGTGAAAACTGAAGATGGGGGACTTAGAAATTACAAAGAGGGCGACGGCCTCAAAAAAGACGAGATGGTGATCTTTGGAAACCCCAAAACGCTGAGCGGCGATGTCGCCTCCCGGTTCTCGTACGCTGTCCCTGCGCTTGTCTCCTGCGACACAATGTCCGCCCCAGAATGATGCGTTACGGTGTGCAGAAGTCCACGGGTAGGTTTTAACATGACGCGGTCAGAGCAAGAATAAAGTGCTTTTACATCCCCCTCTTATTAGTAAAACCAGTGTTAACAAATCCGTTCTGTTCGCACCAGCGCTTCGGTTAATGGCCCCTTCACACCCACTTATTTGCTCTGAAGTCTCCGCTCCGACACAGTGAGTCGTCTTGTGCGCCCGAACCTGTGACTGGACGCACATTCGGCCGGTTGCAGAAGGCCGCTGATGAGTGTGTGACTTTTGGCCGGGCCGCCGGGTTACTCACAACACACTCCTCTGTTCCCCCCCCACAGGAAGCAGGCGGCGAGCGGAGGGGCTACTTGTGAACTTCTGGTTCCTGGAGGAGGGAAGCAGTACATGCCTCATAAACAAGAAGTGCTCATATATTTGGGGAGGGATGAATATTTCAGTGTCCTTTTTTAATTAAATGCCTTTATATGGATAAATCCAAAAACATATGTATTTATATTTCTTGTTAATCGATGTCTTTGGCAAAATATATGATTACTTATTTTAAAGAAATCATTAAAACGATCTTAAAGAAGCCCCTGAAGGGGCGTTGAGGGGGGATTTGGTTGAGGAGGATGGGGGTCGTGTAATTAACATTGACTAAAGGTCCAACGCAGAAACAAGCGTCTTTGAAGAGACGGCTCCGATCAATACGCTCTCAAACAGATCGGATCAACTGATCAGAGAAGTAACCCTCTGCTTGTGGTTCACCATCATCACAATAACGCCTCCCCTCTGTTTTATCTTTACAACTACAATTATTACACATTATTATTATTCTTAACCAGCTGTCCCGTCACAGTGGAAGAGGACAAATTGCCAGTCAGCACAAAGACCCGATGTGTTTATGTCTCGGTCTCATCGGGACTGTGTGGCGATACAAACATGTTTCCCAGCGTTGGATGATCAAGTGGATCTAAAAGCGTTTAGATGTTCTCCGGAAGAACAACAAAACCCTGCGTCGGCTACGTGCTCTGAAGAGCCGCCAGCTGGGAGCGCGATGAAGGAGCCCCTTGGGTGGACGCGGCCCCTCGTGGACAAAAAGCGCGTTTCTAGTGGAAGACGCGCTGACTCCTGGCGGACGTCTCCGGGTGTGTTACATGAAGATAAGCCTTCAGGTTTGATTGTGACGGACGAACTGAAGAACAGCGTTCCGTATCAAAGCCGGGCGGACTTTCTCTTTCTCAGCCTCCCGTAAAGCGACGGGGAGCAGCGGGTTCTGTTGTTGAATTCACAGTCTGAGCCGTCGTCACTCGTCTCCTCGTCTCCTTGTCCCCTAGTCTCCTCGTCCCTCTGTGTTTTGAGGATGGCCTGCTCTGAGCAGACATACAGCTGTGCCCTTCTCTTTCAGTGTAATTCTAACTCACCCGATGTGGTAACTTTAAACCAAGAATCTTTAGTTTATTTGTCACCTTTGTGAATTGGAGCAGATTATAGAAAACGACAGAATGAATAGAAAGAGATGTCTGACTTCCTGCTGAGGTGCTTTCATTGTACGTCTCCACATCTGCCTACAGACATTCCTCACACGAGGATGAACATCCACTTTACAGCTTTCGCTCTCGAGCCGTCGACCAAATTCACAAATGTTCGAGTTCCGTAAGCCCATGAACTGATTAACTTGAGAGAATAATTATAGCATTATACCCAAATGACCACTTCGTTAGCCTTTTAATACGCCCTACGTTTATTTATAAACAATGTTCTTGTGACGAGTGAGTGTGGAATTCTATCTAACTATAATTTGACAGAATCACACAAGCGATTACGGCGACGTGACTTCTCTCGCCGTCGAGGGGAACCGATCCAGGCAGCAGTCGGCCATGTCGGGAAGAAGAACGCCTCAAGTTGCCATGGCAACCAATTGGTGCGCAAAGGCCCCCGAACAACAAACCCGCTTGTGTCCGTCGAAACGTATGAATTTATTGATTTAACAATATAAACACGCAGACGGAGCAGACCTCCGCTGCCGTTCTCTTTTCACCGCCGTCCTTGTTGGAAAGCGTGAATGTTTGAGTCTCCTTCTTCTTTTCACACCGGGGTTATGTAACGCATGACGTATCTGCCGTGGGCATATCATTCTTTACAGATCATAAGTCGCTGCTGACTCTGATTCAATATTTTTTTCTTCATCATAATATGCCTCTCCTTCAGTTCAGATCCAATTAGCGGTATCTTAATTTACACATAAATGAACTGAGATTAATCAACATCTCCGTGCCGGGCGAGAGGAGATCTTTAGGTAATTGGGTAATTTTGAGAACAAAGGGAAGAGGCTCTGCGTGTGAATTCACAATGGCGCCGATGTCAGCGAGAGAAAATAGTCTTGAACGCGTTCGGCAAAAGAAGCAGAGGAAATAATACGGAGAAACAATAGATGGAGGGCTGCGGATGAGAGCGACGCTTTCCCTTTTCCACGTGTCATGTTTCGCCCACCTCCCTTCTTCCTCCTCCCATCCTCGTGTGCCTCTGACAGGCGCTGAGTGGGTGTGCATGAGAGAAAGGGAAGGGGAGGGAGCGACGGAGAGAAAAAAAGCCTCTTATTTATGTAAAAGCTGACATGAGAGGAGGTGCTCGGGCT